AGTGAATTTAAAATCAATGCTTGTTTAAATTTTGAACAACTAAAAATTTTACAATTATCCTTATTTGACCTGGAAACAGTAAAACATTGCTGATACTTCTATATCTAAATGAAAACTAATATTTTTAACTATATACTCCCGACGTTTCAGTTACTTTACAGCAACCGTGATCATTAAGACGAGATGTGAATTAACATAAGTATAATCCGAAAAATATTTAATTAATTTAAACGAATAAATGTGAAAGTATTACTTATATTTCTGATGAGTGAAGGCATCTGGAAGATTACTCCAATATCCATCAGAATTCCCAATATATAAGTAAATACTTTACTGCTTATTCTGACCTGCAGGTCTAAAAATATTTCCAGCTGTGACAAGTTGATGAGTCATCTCCCAATTCTCTTATCTTTTATCTAAATAGGTACTATCTGATGCAAAAGTTAAGCTGAAAAATTATTTGACGAAAGATAAAATAGTAATTATCTTTAAAAAATCGGTTTTTATAGTACAACTAGAAGACCCGCCGAACTTCGTATCGCACTATAATCAAGAAATTCCTTTTTAGGTTTTTTATTTATATTTTTGGAGTTTACCTATTAAAGCCATAAATCTCTGTGTTTTGAAGTGCGACAGAATGATTGACATGTTAGTTAGTTGTGAAATCTAATGTCAAAAAAAAACATTTGTATCAACAACTACTAATAAATTAAAAATTAATTAAAAAAAACATTATCCAGCGGACGAAATTGTGAATCTAAACCATTCCCAGATCCCCTTGAACACACACAAAAAAATTCATCAAAATCGGTCCAGTCGTTTGAGAGAATTTCAGTGACATACACACTCACAGAAGAATTATATATGTATATAAAGATAATGTTTTTCGGTTTCGTGTTTAAAAATATCCAAAATAGCCCGTTTGGGGAAAACAAATTATTTCATTTAAAAATTATTTGTCCTATCGTATTTTTCGTCGTAAAATTAATAAAGAAGTATTGAAATTTGAAAAAATATTATCAATAGTATATATCATATTAATTATTTTTATATACGTTATCAGATTAGTGTGTACTAACTATTGATTGATATATGATTTTATATAAATTATATACTTAAATGATTACAGAAGCTTTTACTTTATAATTGACCGAAAACATATACAAAGATAAGACATGTATATATATATATATATATATATATATATATATATATATATATATATAATAACAAGCTGACCCGGCAGACTTCATACTGCCTCAATCGATAAATATATATTTTTTCATTTATTTTTTGGAGTTTACTTTTAAGCCATAGATCTTCGTGCTCTGAAGTGCGATAGAATGACTGACATATTAGTTAGTTATCAAATCTAATGTCAAAAAAACGTTCGTATGGAAAATAGAAAAGGGCTGTTTTTAGGGTTTTCCCGGAAATGAATCAATTTTTTTCAGCTTTTAAACCTTCCCTGAACCTCCACGAACATTTCAAGACTAAGATAAGATAAATCCGTCCAGCCGTTCTCGAGTTTTAGTGAGACTAAGGAACAGCAATTCATTTTTATATATATAGATATATATGTCAAAGTATTTTATCATTTTAAATTCCTTATAGATTTTTATCATATTAGTAATTTTACACTTATTATTTGACCGTCGTAGTTCTATAGTATATGCTTACTACAAGTTCTTCTGTCACACTACATACGTAGCGTCAACAGTATTTCGTTAATATCTTCTCATAGTATTAACGTACTATTAAATGAGAAACGGGAGACTCGTCGTGTGTAGTAACGATGTAGACTAGTGGTAAGAATTTTTTTATTTCTTACGTAAACAATTACGTTATCACAATAAAAAAAAATTATCAGAACAATCAATTTCCTGTTTTAATTGAAATACCTTGAAGTTTCAACATAATATATTGTTGTATCTAGTTTAAAAGTATTATAATACTAGCTTTCCGCCCGCAGCTTCGCCCGCGTCGAGTTCGGTTATATCGCGTTTCCAAGAGAACCTTTCAAAAGTCTGGTTTAAAAACTATCCTATGTTCTTTCTCAAGGTCAACTCTGTCTCTGTACCAAATTTCATTTAAATCAATTCAGTGGTTTAGGCGTGAAAGCGTAACAGACAGACAGACAGAGTTACTATCCCATTTATAATATTAGTAGGGAATTTATAGTAACAATAAAACAGTATAAAGTATGCCTTGTTTAATATTTATTCATGACCTTTGACACGTGAATACATACATACATTTGTAAGTGAAATAGTCGTTTGAACCTGGTGGCTATGAAGATTTTTACATTAGTAATGTCTTCTTCTACCAGGCTTTTCCCAGCTTTAGCCAGGGTCTGCCTTACAGGTTGTGAATAGTTTTGGCTAATTGTTTTTACCAGCCGCCTGCCTGACATCAACCCTCTTTGGGAATGCATTAATCAGTGATGTCTAAATAATCTTAGACAGTACATATGGCTCGGAAAAATCACATCGGTACTTGTCAGAATCGAACCAGCACCCTCGTGCATGAGAGGCGGTCCTTTTAACCACTAGGCCACCACTGACTTACACTTTTACAGTAGTATTGTATTCGTAATCAATTGATACACCCAAAATTAATTGATAAGATAAATTTTATAATGAGATCTAAGACTTTTGCTAGTATTCATTTAAATGAAATTAATATTATTCGTATTACTACGCGTATTTTATTATTTTAACTACGTACTCCCGACGTTTCGGTTACTTGTATAAACCATGATTTTTCATCTCGTCTTAATGATCACGGTTGCTGCAAAGTAACCGAAACGTCGGGAGTATGTAGTTAAAATAATAGTCAAGGAGTATAGTATAGTAAAGAATAAATGAATTTTTGTAATGGCTAAACGAAAATGGGAAGATAGAAATCAATTTTTAGTGTATATAGGTTATATATAATGAACAGACTACACGTAGTCATTATATGTATTGTTTTAACACACTATACGTTAATATAGGAATAAAACCCTCATTTTTATGCTGACATAGTAACAGTAAGTATTCCCAAAGAGGGTTGATGTCAGGCAGGCGGACGGTCGTAAAAACAATTAGCCAAAACTATTCACAACACGTAAGGCAGACCCTGGCTGAAGCTGGGAAATTGCCAGGTAGAAGAAGTAACAGGCAAAGATTAGTACATCCCTACTATCCCTACTAATATTATAAATGCGAAATTAACTGTCTGTCTGTCTGTTACGCTTTGAAACTGATTTTAATGAAATTTGGTACAGAGATAGAGTTAACCTTGAGAAAGAACATAGGATAGTTTTTATCCCAGACTTTTGAAAGGTTCTCTTGGAAATACGATATAACCGAACTCCACGCGGGCGAAGCCGCGGGCGGAAAGCTAGTAAATATAATAATAGAAACTACTCATAAAAGTGTTAATTGAAAAAAATTATTTAATTCATTTGATTGCGTTAATTTATTAAGAAATAAAGTGGTTTGTATTGAACTGGGCGTCTCAAAGCCGATCGCCGATAGCGTTTGACTTTGGACCCAATCACTACGTAATAAAGGTCATATTAGATTGCACATAGATATGGAACAATATAAATATATGTATGTGTGTGTGTTCCAATAATATACAAGAAATTTATACCGTATTCACTCGCCTATCATGTCTCAAAACTGCAAATTTATTTTATGGGTCGTCTTAGTATTAATTTTTAATATTTCAGTGTCCTTATATATGAAAATTAATTAATATTGTAATCGGATTATTTCATGAAGACAAACATACACACGCACACACACATACGCACGCACGCACACATGTAATGATACAATAATTCTACATGAATCTATGTATTTCCCACTAAAAAGTACTTACTTTTATTTTTAACCATAATAATATAATATTAAATTTTATTATTTCCTTGTTGCTAATTATTGTGTAGGATTAAATTTAACTGAGGCCAGTTAAAGGTGCTGTTTATTTTAACTTGAATATATTTCTTTGTTATCAAACCTTCAATATATGTATATATATAGTGTTTGAAATGCATGTCTGTCTGTCATTACGTCATAGTAGCAAAACTAAGTTACTGGTTACATCATTACCATATCACGATCTATCTGCCAGTGAAAGTCCTATCAGAATCTGTACAGTTGTTTCGCAGATAAGTCGGAACAGATACATACCTTTTCGTCCTTATGCATTTATTAAAAATATGTTATTTTTAGTATACAAAATTACAAACATACAAAACATATATTGATAAATAAAATTGTGTGCACTTCAAACAAAATACAGTTTTAAGTGTTTTCAAGTGACTATATATATTTATTTCAAATGTACAAAACATAGGTACATACATACAAAAATGTTTTTCATTTTTACGACAAATATATTCTAAAATAAAAATAATCAAAAATATATATAAAAAACCTTTTAAACTTACGTCAATATATAATATTACTTATTACTTATTAAAACTATCTTTAACATAATTTTTAATGTCGAGTAAAGCCTGGAGTTTATCTAGTATAGATAGTTTTTATAATGCTTGTACTCCAACTTCGCTCCACTACATATGTACATTACTCTTTTAAAATAGTTAAAGAAAACTACCAATTCTTCGTATGCCTGTATACTAGTGATAGTATAGTGGTTTTGCTCGTCTATTTCTTACAGTAATTGTCGTCATCATCAGCCTATCAGAGCCCACTGCTGTAAGGCATCTTCTCACATGGAGAAGGTTTGAGCATTAATCACCACACTTGCTCAAGACGGATTGGCGATTTCAAATTTTTAGTTGTGATATTATAAGTCCAGGTTTCTTCATGTTTTCCTTAATCAGTCAGTGATATCTAAATACTCTTGTAAAGTACATATGACTCGGAACAATCACATTGGTACTTGCCAGGTTTCGAACCCGCGCCCTTATGTACGAGAAGCAGTCTTTTAACCACTAGGCAAACACGACTTTTTTAAATGTATGTATGTCTTTGTATTTCTAGATGCGACTCCATCGCTGTGAAGGCTGCCTCGCGGCCTGCCGGCCCGAGCGCGCCACGGCCTCGTCTAGACGAAATATAACCAGGTAATGTATCTATAGACATATCTATCTACATATCTATCTATATATATAAAGAATACTAATCACTTTAGTCACCTCATTTACGCTGAGATCTTTTTGTTAATATTATTTTAAATTTTTAAATATATATGTATTTCAACTTAACACTAGAAAAGGGTAATTTTTACGATGCTTTCTAATATATATTTGCCAATAAAAATAGTAACTTTTGTGGTGACGGCTTCAAAAAAGAAATGAAAAGAATTCTTTGCAGGTTTTTTATATAGAAACGTACATATACAGGGTGACTGGTGAATTACTATCAATATTTAAGGAGAATACTCGGTACATGATTCTCATTCGAATTATGTAAAAAAAATAGGCACTTAATTTTTGACAAAATTTCCGTATAAATAAATAAAGTGTTGACACGTTCCAAGTGTTCCTAGTGTGGACGCGTGCGGCGGCGTGCTGATACAACACTACGCCGCCGTCCGCGTATGTGTGAGTGTGAGTGTATACCTAATCTGTAGGGTTCACATGATGCGTAATTAATTACACAACTTTTGGTTAACTTTACTTAGAAGTTTATTAATATTTATGTTATATTAATTTTTATTTTGTCATATATGATCGTCAAATATCACGTCCTCAAATATCGATAGTAATTCACCAGTCACCCTGTATATATAATTTACAAATAAATATATACTAACTTTTTCGCATTACTTCAAATTAATCATAAAAAATTATTACCACTTATACCAAAAATATTATTATTAATTCAATTGTTTACAAAATTATTTTATAGCACCTAGCTCAGTTATTAAACAAGCGGAATATTAATAGCGGGTTCGATATTTTACAGAACAAATCAATTGAAGAGATCACGAGCGTCGCCGTACACGACATCTATCAAACGGGAATCCAAAATGGCGGAGTCCACCCCCCCACCGCCACCAGAGAATAACGCACCACGTAAGAGAATTATTAATTACTAATTACTAATAATCCCTACTAATATTATAAATGCGAAAGTAACTCTGTCTGTCTGTGTGTTTGTTACGCTTTCACGCCTAAACCACTGAACTGATTTAAATGAAATTTGGTACAGACATAGCGTTGACCTTGAGAAAGAACATAGGATAGTTTTTATCCCAGACATTTGAAAGTTTCTCTTGGAAACGCGGTATAACCGAACTCCACGCGGTCGAAGCCGCGGGCGGAAAGCTAGTTACTCATAATTACTATATAACAAACAATTATTTTCATATTAGTTCTATTTCAAACATATTGTTTTTCTCAGTGTAATTGGAAATAAACAAAGTCGTAGGCAAAAACTAGTGTTTATAATTAAGAAATTATTTATTGATTTTTTTTCTGATGTACCTACTAATACATACTAGCCTTGATTCATACTAGCTCTGATACGCGACTGCGTCCGCATTTTTTCTTTCGTTATTCATATGTATATGTGAAAATTTACATAATTTGCATGGAAATTTTTCTAAAACCAATACCTAGAGTCATCAAAATTGTTCACGCCGTTTGGGAGATTATTCGTAACGAAATGACAGACATATATATAAACATACGTAGACACACACACACACACACACACACACACATATATATATATATATATATATATATATATATAAAGTATGATGTATTAAAGTAAATACCATCCTCAAAAACTTCCTCATTCAAAAACCGTTGACTTCCACTTCATAGCGTTTAGTTAGTCGCGTTTAAAATATCATTGAGTTATGTAGTTACTTTATTACATAGAAGGGTTTAAAATAATATATTTTGTGTTTTATTGGTTCATATAAGTGGATACAGTAAGTTTTTGGAGGTCAATAAACTTATCTTCTTCTTCTACCTGGCAATTTCTCACCTTTAGCCAGGGTCTGCCTTACATGCCGCGACTTTTGATATATTTTTCATTATTCTCCTTTTTGTGTGTATAATGGATTGATAACTCGGAAACTATCTTAGTTTGGAAATTAATAAAGTAAGTTTTATCTATAATAGTTTACAATACGTATGCAGAGTTTTATCGAAATCGTTTTAGCAGTTTGAGAAAATAATTCGACCAAATTAATTCTTACACCCCAAAAAATATGTATTGAGAACTAGCTGAACACGCGACTTTGTCCGCGTTGTATGTCACATTAATAATACCTATGTACAAAAATACAGAGCTACGTAGTACTTCTAGGAATAGTTGTATCTTAAACTTTAATAACAATATATATATGTATACTAATGATAAGTCAGTGGTGGCCTAGTGGTTAAAAGGCCCGCCTCTCATGCATGAGGGTGCGGATTCGATCCTGGCAGGTACCAATGTGATTTTTCCGAGTCATATGTACTTTATAAGAGTATTTAGACATCACTGATTAATGCCTTCCCAAAGAGGGTTGATGTCAGGCAAGCGGCCGGTCTTAAAAACAATTAGCCAAAACTAATCACAACTTGTAAGGCAGACCCTGGCTAAAGCAAGGAAATTGCCAGGAAGAAAAAGATATACACTAATGATATCTAAGACTTTCGCGAGTATTCATTTAAATGAAACTACTATTTCGTATTACTAAGCGTTTAGACTACTAAGTATCTGAAACGTCGGGACTACGTCATTTTAAAATAATAATAACGGGAAGTAATCCGAACATATTATATTAGTTTCATTCATTTATATACTAGTTTTCGCCCGCGGCTCCAAATCCAAAAGCACCATGGTTTTATTAACTTCGAATTCTATCACCAAATATATATGACTTCTACCACATATATATCACATAGAAGCATATATATATATACTAGAAGACCCGGCGAACTTCGTATCGCCCTATAATCAAGAAATATCTGTTACGTTTTTTTATTTATATTTTTGGAGTTTACCTAATAAAGCCATAAATCTCTGTGTTTCGAAGTGCGACAGAATGATTGACATATTAATTAGTTGTCAAATCTAATGTCAAAAAAAAAACGTTTGTATCTACAACTGCTAATAAATTAAAAATTAATTAAAAAAACATTGTCAATGATAATATATATAAAGATATTTGTATTTTCCAGCCATGCCGTGGTTCGGTATGGACATAGGTGGTACCCTCACGAAGCTAGTATACTTCGAGCCTCGCGAAAACAATAGGCGAGAATTGGACAAAGAGACAGAGATTCTGAAGAATATAAGAAGATATTTGACCAGGAACTCCGCATACGGCAAAACTGGCAGAAGAGATGGGCATCTGCAGGTATGTGGCTATTAGCTAACTAGGGACTATGTCCCATAAATAGGTCCAAGTATGCAAAAAATGTCTAATTTTGGCTATTCGAGAATAGTAGGCTCCATACAGGTCTGTTTAACTAACTAGGGAATTTAGTCCCAAAAATAGGTCCGTAGTGTGCAAAAAGTGTCTAATTTTTAAAGAATTTTGGCTATTAGAGAAAAGTAGGTCCATATATGCAAAAAGTGTCCGATTTTTTAATGAATTTTTTTAGTAGTTGAGAAAATTGGTCCCATGAACGCGAAAAGTCTCATTTTAATTGAATTTATTGATTTTATGATAAAAATATATTCCAAGAATGCAAAAAGTGCCATTAAATAAAATTTACATGTAACAAATTGAATTTGATTTTCATATAATGTAAACTCGTCTGAAACTTGAAACATCGTCATACGAAATCATATAACATAATTGCTAGAATATAATTTCTATAACATATAGTGATAATAGATAACATGACAGAGCCAGGTGATAATATATGTATGGCCATTCATCCAGATGGACAACGTGACCATCCGTGGCCGTCGTGGCACTCTGCACTTCATCCGTTTTCCCACCAGTGAGGTTGGGGCATTCCTCCAACTAGCTCGCTCCAAGGGAATGGCAGCTCTTGTCAATACAATATACGCTACGGGCGGCGGGGCGTACAAATTCGAAGAAGACTTTATAAAGGTTAACCAATTTTGATAAGATTACACCAAATTAATAGGTGTTTTAGAGGAGAGTCTCAATTTTAGTCATGTATTGGCAAAAAAATTATGAAGTTTATGATTTTTTTAAGTTTTTTTTAATCTATATACAAATATCTAAAAAAATGATTTTTCTCCAACCAGGATTTTAAGCTGTTGATAAATTCTTACATCCTTAAAGATCATAATGAATAAGCTTATTACGAAATCTCCTAATATAATACTCAAACAGCTAGTTATATGATATTAAAGATCGTAATGAAACAGCTTATTCGTTAAACAAAGCAGTTACTTTACAGCTTGTTTCATAAATACTTCTATACTTGAAATAACAGCTCAACTCAAGCTTAACAATATTACAGGAAGTGAACATGCGTCTGTCCAAGCTGGACGAGCTGGATGCTTTAATAGCTGGCGTGCTGTTCGTGGATGCTATGAACCCTCAGGAGTGCTACTACTGGGCCCCGCCATTACCACCACACGAAGTAGACTCGGTGAGAAAATACACAATATTATATACTAGCTGCGCCCCGTGGTGTTACCTTGATTTCGGGGTGTAAAGTAGCCTATGTGCTATTCCTGGACGTCAGCTTCCTGTATACAAAATTTTATCAAAATCGGTTCAGCCCTTTGAGCGTGACGAAGTGACAAACGTACACACATACAAACTTTCGCAATTATAATATTAGTAGTATATAGCTCGTCTAATAAATAAACATTATGATTTTGGAATAATATTCCAAATTCCAGTGTGAATAAAGCCGTAGTATTAAAATTAGAATCTCTTCTTATTTAAGGAATTTATTTCATTCGATAAATATCTTTATGTTTTCACACAGTACTCAATAATTCGTCCGACAAATAAACATTTTGACATTAGCAAAATAAACTAATTCCAGTGTGAATGACGCCTTAGCATAAAATATATTTTTAGCAGGTTATCAAATTACATATATAGAAACAAAATCAATATATACAGGGTGACTGGTGAATTACTATCAATATTTAAGGACGTGGTAGTTGACGATCATATATGACAAAATAAAAATTAATATAACATAAATATTAATAAACTTCTGAGTAAAGATAACCTAAAGTTATGTAATTAATTACGGATCGCGTGGATACCCTAGCTGCGTTATCGACACAAAACAGTTATGTATATGTAGGTATATGTAGTTATAGCGCGGTAGTTTGCCTACATCCAAACCTTAGACCTTAGATAAACAAAAATGATCCAATTCCCTTCATACTTTAATCCTGGCTTAGGACAGGCAAAAATACCAAGATATTTCTTTCGTTTAAGCACCCAATTTATTGACTAGGTAAATGGTGTGACCTTGACACAAAAAATTATATGAACTGTTTACCGATCTTGGTATTTCCGGCGTATTTAAAAATGGAATCATACTTATTTACAACAATTGTCAATCATTAAACTACCTATTTACCTACATAACTACACTAACCTTACCAAATGTTCAAAGCGAGCTCCTTCTCGTGTGATACACAGTTCGGCACGTTTACACATATTGTCTTTCACACGATTTAATACGAATGGGTCACTTTTAATAGTTTTGAAATCACTATTGATTTTTAATTTCAACTCCTCTCTGTTGACATACATTGTAGCATACACAAGACGTTTCCTTGGGCATGTGTTGGAACACGGAACTGTCCGAAGTCTCGTAATCTTTGATTAGCGTTTAAGATGACGCTGGCCGTAGGTACTCGACGATTGGGGAACATCTCCCGGTACAAATTGATTGCGCCCGGCAAGCTATCATTTGCACGCGCATACGCATGAACCATGTCCAAGTATTATGAATTTGTGTATTGAAAAGCCATACTTAATTACTAATAAGTAATAACGGGTCACACGCACACACGACAGATTATTATTACGTATACGCGTAAGATCGATCGCTAGGCGCGCGCGCGGGAAGACGAACGTACGGACCTTACGGCGGCGCTCGCCCGACTAATTAGCCACGGGGGGTCGGTGGGGAGTAGCGACACACTGGCGCCGGCAAGGCTGGGTACGTGTCCAAACTTTATTTATTTATACGGAAATTTGGTCAAAAATTAAGTACCTATTTTTTTTACATAATTCGAATGAGAATCATGTACCGAGTATTCTCCTTAAATATTGATAGTAATTCACCAGTCACCCTGTATATTGCTCGAGGCGTTCTTAGTGCAAACACCGGTCGTGTAGTTTTGTTAAAGCGTTTAATAATTAATTATTAAGTTTAAGATTTTGTTCTTTCTATCTAATTAATTTCGTTGTTAAAATTACTTTTCGAAAATAAATAACTAAGTTAAGTGTTAAAATTGTTTCGTTTTTAATAAATCTGCTTCTGATTTCCAAAAATATATATGTCTTTAACTGTATGTCTGTCTGTCCCTCAGCCGCCGTACCTAGAAGCAGCCTTGAGTCAGTACGTGAGGAAACCATTCGACTTCTCAAACCCCTACCCCTTCTTGCTAGTAAATATTGGTAGTGGCGTCTCCATGTTGGTAGTGAACGCTCCCAATGATTATTATAGAGTTAGTGGCACCAGGTGAGTACTATATACAATAATAACCAATATATATTAACTAGCTTTCCGCCCGCAGCTTCGCCCGCGTGGAGTTCGGTTATATCGCGTTTCCAAGAGAAGCAATCAAAACTCTGGGATAAAAACTATCCTATGTTCTCAAGGCCAACTCTATGTCTGTACCAAATTTCATTAAAATCAGTTCAGTAGTTCAGGCGTGAAAGCGTAACAGACAGACAGACAGAGTTACTTTCGCATTTATAATATTAGTAGGGATGTCACGTGACTATACACTATACAAGTGTAGTGACACGTTTTTACCATATATATTATACCCTACATTCATGTTAAGTTTCATGCGAAACGGTTAAGTAGGTTTTACAGAAAAGTACAATAAACATGTATATATAATTATTTTCAGTCTAGGAGGCGGTACATTCCTCGGTCTATGCTGTCTTCTCGCCGGTTGCAGCAGCTTCGAAGAGGCAATAGCTCTAGCAGCATCTGGAGATAATACTACCGTCGATAAACTTGTTAGAGATATATACGGCGGGGATTATGAGAGGTTCGGCTTGAGAGGGGATCTGGTGGCTAGCAGGTAAGTTGAAAATCTTCAGAACAGATAGAAATACGAAAGAAATATATTTACTATGTCCAAATAGGCTTACGATAGTTTAAAACCATTTGGAAATAAGTTTAGGAGTTAATATTGATGTATTCAAGAAAACATACTGACGCTCCACTACCTAAAGAAATATATCAAAACAATAAATAAATAGACATCAGAAACGAAATTCTCTTAGTAAAATAAGATGAAATCAGTTTAAGAGCTATTATTTTAACACATACATGTTTTTCCCCCCAGTTTCGGTCACATGTGTTCATCCGAGCGTCGAGCGAAGGTTTCCCGTGAGGACCTAGCTCGAGCCACGCTTGTCACTATCACCAACAACATAGGCTCCATTGCCAGGCTTTGCGCGAGCAACGAGCGGCTAGAGAGGGTTAGACATACACACACACACACACTCACACACAAACATACTCCTACATTCATGACAGCACACAACTACACCTTCACGTAATAACACATACACATTACAGTTCCAAACAAGCAGAATATATACACAAAAAGATACTCCTAAATTCCCCATAAACTTTAATCCCATACTCTAAAGTCTAATATACATTCATGACGACCACACCTTCACAAAAAAATCACGACGACCGTCTACACTGCTAAATACGTAGAACACACTCACATAAATACAGATAGCGCGCGAGTTGAATGCAGACCTTAGGAATGCGGTAGTGTTGTGACCTAATTATAATTTTTGGTGACCACAATGATTAATGAATGTCAATAAATTTAAACAATGTTATAAATTTAATTTTATTTTTTACACTAGGTTAACATGATGAAAACAAAAAAACAATATCATGATTGTCACATGTTTTTAATAATGATTTCACAAAACGGAATAAAAAAAATTTATCAGATTCAGAAATGGCAGATATTTTTGAATCGATGTCACTATCCTCACCGTCGCTGTCCTCAATGACGAATCGATCTATGGTATTTTCAATTAATCCATCTCTTTGTCAATAATTTTCTTCTAAAATACAATGATTGATTGATATATGCATATGATAATAACAAACACAGCACACACACACACACACGCATACACACGCACACACACACAATGTAACATGTATCCCTAACGATAATTATAAGTAATGCTGGCTGGTGCTGCCCCCAGGTGGTGTTCTGCGGCAACTTCCTCCGCGTGAACCCTCTGTCCATGAAGCTCCTCTCATACGCCATGTCGTACTGGTCGAGGGGCGCGCTCAAGGCGCTGTTCTTGGAGCACGAGGGGTGAGTGTATATACAGATTACTGAATTAACTACCCCATGTATACAGGGTGACTGGTGAATTACTATCGATATTTGAGGACGTGATATTTGACGATCATATATGACAAAATAAAAATTAATATAACATAAATATTAATAAACTTCTAAGTAAAGTTAACCAAAAGTTATGTAATTAATTACGCATCGTATGAACACCCTACAGATTAGGTATACACACACACACACAGACGCGCGCGGCGGCGTGTTGTTGTATCAGCACGCCGCCGCGCGCGTCCACACTTGGAACACTTGGAACGTGTCAACGGGGTCGCGTTAAGCGGAGTATTACTGTATTATAAAAAGCTCAAAGACTGAATTGTTCATAACATGTACAGTACATAATATACCTCAATATATCTATGTACTTTCACTATTAACAAATTCTTCTAAATCCCCTTGAATTTTCAATAAGAGTCAATATAAATATACATTTACATTGCAAACATTTTTTCCAACAACCTCTTTATAACGAAATTTCACCTATCAAGAAAAGTGTAGGTATATAATATATATACCTATCTCATTAATGAATTTTGTCAACCCAAACCTTTATATAATGTCCCACCAATATTTTACTCTTAATCTTATAATATGTGATTCATGTTTCTACAAGCTTTTGTTCTGCTCGTCACTATTAAAGATTTAATTTAAAAAAAACTACTTTCTTCCTTTTAATATCAAATTTTAGAGCAACCTATCCTCATAATAAACCTCAGTACAAATAAGTACTTGATACAAAGAATATTTTCTTATTCCCCTATAATTTGTAATATTAAGGTTGCACTAGAGAATTAGTTAATCATACTTAAAGAACCCTTTGTTTCTCTGTACCCAATAATAAAAATAGCACAGACAGAAGCTAGTATTAATTTGAATCTTTTATATAATTTTCAGTTACTTTGGTGCCGTCGGATGTTTGCTCCGATATGACCTCAAGAACCACAGGAAAGAAAATGTATCAAGGAACGACACACCGGAAAGACAAATGGATAGATGAATATATACATATATATAGATAAAGTGAAATAATATTAAAAATATTATTAAAATTATATATACTTCTATTATTTTACATACAAGCTGTTAACAATTATTATGGAAAATCTGATTATTACTTAATCGGTGATACTATATTTTGACTTCATAGACATATGACAATCCGTTCTGGTGAATAGTTCTGACGAAGAGTTCTGTTGTACATTGATTAAATAATACATTTATATATAGGAATTTTCATTATATATATATAATTGTTAATATTAGGCACAAATTTATATTTATTTTATATTTATTTGGCTAGATCTTGTTTAATCTGAATAGCAATAAAACTGACATGCTTAGATGTGGATATACATTTAAATGAAACTAATATTTTGGATATACAACGCGGTTTTTTGTGAAAAAAACACATACCTCGTCTTAATAATCACGGTTGCTGAAATGTAGAAACGTCGGGAGTATGTAGGAAAATATTAGTTTCATTTAAATTTATGTGAATATTTTTATAAACCAAAACAATAAGAACTTAAAATAATTTTATTCCGAGTGAATACTGTATGATAGTGCTACAGTTATTTAATGCGGGGGTGGGTTAGGTAATATCTGTGCCTAAATTAGGTTCCTAGCTAGCCTAGCCTGATTTGAGTTTAAAGAAATTTAAGCCCGGTGGTTAGATCGTAATATTTTATAAGCTTTTATAACGACAAGCTCATAAAGACGCTAGAATAAAAATATTAGAAGCTTAACATGAATTGTCAAAATTCTGTCAAATAACCAAAATGGCGGGCGGGTGATGTTCAGAAATAAAATAAAAAAATCTGTTAAAATGTGAGGTTATTTATCAGGGTTATAATTTTTTATATTTATATGTTAATTTTGTTGAAAGGGCTTATTTTATATAATAAATAAATTATAATAAACATTTGTTTTATTTTATGCGACCAGTTCAGAGAAATCGAATGTGTTTTTTGGCGCGTTTTCCTCTAATGTCCTTAGCGCTTTCAAAATCGAGTGTCTTAAACCGTCGTCACTACGAAGCAGTTTTTTCTCTTTATATTTATAATCAACGATATTATTTAGTAACTCATTTATTTTTCTGTCCACGGTCTCTTTTGGTTTCGTCAGATATATAACATTTTTATCTTTCAAATTATTCAATATCTTAGATCGCCTGAACGCATAGTTTTCTAACGACGACGCGTAAATCTTCTCATTTCTTATCTGCAACGGTGAATAATATTTCCCTTTTATATTTTTTACTCTATTTCGTCCATATTTCATTATTTTCGGCAATCTTTGCAGACTCAGAACAATATTTACTGAAAAATTATTTTACTATTAATCTCCAATTAATACATTCTTGGAACGTACATCGGAGGCTGCTCTAGTAGGTAAATTTGGTAGAGAGAAGCTTGGACAGTGGAGGTAAGCATTTAACGCGCGTTAAATAGGGAGTCCCTTAACCCTACACCTGGGTCACAAGTTCCAGTCACTGTTGAAGCTCCTCTCACTACAACGATGGCCCCGACACACGCACCGTGAATACATGGAATAATGAGAGGTTTCGTGATTCGTCTTACGCAATCAAAATCGACATAATAAGTTATTTTTAACTTACGTAAAAATATAAACATGAACAAGTGTATATAATTCATCTTGAAACGTTTAATAATAAAAAAATTCCTCAGTCAATCCGATGAACAATTAAAATTACGATAAGAAAGTAATTTTGTGGATATCATAAATTACAAAACAATCTATTTTGATCATAAAGGCGGTATAAGCAGTATTTTTATTTTATTTTTTCGTTTTGTTCATACAACTTTTAAGACAAAATCTAATATTGAAATTTTTGTGGGAATTTCAGTAAAATATTGAAGTATGAAATATCATATTATATATAACTTTTTCCTTAGCATTGTATTTTATTTTCATTTAGTTACAAATACTAGTTCTACTAGCACTTCAAGTGATGTGTATTATTTTGCATACACAACAACTTCAATATCATATCTTACGCTGAAGAAGTATATGTAAACAGCAAATAATATTTAAAACTTCATTTATTTAAATACAATCTTAACAGAAAGTGAAAAATACATCTATAGTTCAGTAACAAAGATAATTTAGATAAAAAATACAAGTAAATCTATAAGGACTAGTAAGAAAGAAGAAATAGTCTCCTAATTTAATTTAACATTATGCATCTATGTCAACAACTATTAATCACAGTTTATCACAAATTTTATTAGCCGTTGTCCAAAATATATATCTAGTTAAAATTTAATATACAACAGAATTATAAGTACTATTTGGCAGACGTTTATGAATCTTGAATGGTATCCTTAGACGGCTGCCAAAAATTATTTCATGAGCTCAGTTCCTGCTGAGACATATTCTCTGTTGAGATCTGAAAATGAGAAGAATAAATATTAGCTGGATTTACATAGAAAATTACTGTATAACACTGATAAAAATCAGTTAATTATAAAGTAATACTATAGTAATAGTTCGGTTATATCGCGTTTCCAAGAGAACCTTTCAAAAGTCTGGGATAAAAACTATCTTATGTTCTTTCTCAAGGTCAACTCTATCTCTGTACCAAATTTCATTATAATCAGTTCAGTGGTTTAGGCGTGAAAGAGTAACAGACAGACAGACAGACAGTTACTTTCGCATTTATAATATTAGAAGGGAATACTAGGATTTATTTCTCTATCTATATAAATTTGAGCTTAAATTTATGGTCCGTACCATTAATAAGAATACATGATATCTATACAATATTTGTAGATGTTTTTCTAGAAATATAAAAAAAATTTGAAATTTTTTACTATAAAACTGATTTTTATTTCAGTGTCATAGGCTAATCTTTAACATAAACAGCAGAAGGATTCTTTAAGTAAATATTTTTTATTTTTTTAACCTGTCTTTTCCATGACTATACAGGGTGACTGGTGAATTACTATCGATATTTGAGGACGTGATATTTGACGATCATATATGACAAAATAAAAATTAATATGACATAAATATTAATAAACTTCTAAGTAAAGTTAACCAAAAGTTATGTAATTAATTACGCATCGTATGAACACCCTACAGATTAGGTATACAAACACACACACACTAGCGCGCGGCGGCGTGTTGTTGTATCAGCACGCCGCCGCACGCGTCCACACTTGGGACACTTGGAACGTGTACACACTTTATTTATTTATACGGAAATTTGGTCAAAAATTAAGTACCTATTTTTTTTACATAATTCGAATGAGAATCATGTACCGAGTATGCTCCTTAAATATTGATAGTAATTCACCAGTCACCCTGTATATTTCTCATACCTTACTGTAGATAATAAACTTTTCTTTTGTTATATAAATAAATATAAAATAAATATGTCAGAGGTTAAAGCGTCTCGTGCACGAGGGCATGGGTTCTAAACCTGGCAAGTACCAATATGAGTTTTCCAAGTCATATGTACTTTGTAAGAGTATTTAGACACCACTGACAGATAAAGAAATATATGAGGAAACATGGACTTATAATATCAAATTATGTATAAGTTTGAGATCACCAACCCGTCTTAAGATAGCGTGGTGATTAATGCTCAAACCTTCTCCATGTGAGAAGAGGCCTTTGCTCAGTAGTGGGCTCTGATAAGATGATGATGATGATGATTAAGTTACCTGTGATCAATCAATATTTTTCCGGCAGTTGGGGCAGGTCTGCTGCTGCTCAAGCCACGGCAGGATGCATGTTGTGTGGAAGAAGTGTGTACACGGTAGGGCCATGCACTCCTGGCTCGGTTGTATCATGTCAAAGCATATTGAACACTGCTCCTCGGTTCTTGAACGTTCACGACTGAAAAATATACATAATATACTGAAACATATATATTCTGAGTGGGACTCAAGAGAATAATGTATATAGTGGGTATATAATATATTCAGGTATATTTTTTATTCCCAAAGAGGCTTGATGTCAGGCAGGCAGCCGGTCGTAAAAACAATTAGACATAACTAATTCCCAACATGTAAGGTAGGCCCTGGCTAAAGCTGGGAAATTGCCGGGTAGAAGAAGAAATTGCCGGGTAGAAGAAGATATTTTGAAGAAATGATAATCGGATATTCACACATTATCAAAAACGTTATTTATAATTTTAGTATTATATGACTGCAATGTAAAAATCACATGCATATACAATTAGTTTCATCTTACTTCAAATATAAATATATTTACACTTTTAATGATAATTTTATTTTAATGATAATTTTTAAGCCAAAATAATTTCTAAGCCAAAATAATTTTACAGCAAATAATGTTCCAGTTCTGTTAAATTATTTTGAGCACAGCACATTTTGTAGCTTACTATATTAGATATATATATACATATGGTAAACAAGACCCATTTTTATACCTTTTACCATCTACATTTTCATACCTTTTCATTATTATTACATTATATATAGTTAAACAAATATTCCATTAACTACTCATAAAAAAAATACATCAACAAAATACATATACCATTAAAATTAAAACTACAATAACTACTAATAACTCACATATTATTTTCTTGCACAAAATTTTCTATCTACATGTTAAAATCTAAATTAAAACCTAAAACAGGCAAATTCTTACAATGCTCGAGCACTGGCGGTATTCACATTGTTCCTGAAAACATCATTTTGTACTGTATTTTATGTGATCGAAGGAAATATCACGAACAAGTGGCTCGGAAACAATTACAGTATCAGAAGGATTGACTGATTATTATCATTACTTTAAAGAATATTTTTATATGTTCAATTTGGATTGGAAAGATTTTTCTCACCTGCTAGACCGCCTAGGAGAGAAAATACTAGATAGAAAACTGTTTAATTGATTACTATATGTCGGTGCGAACGATGGAACATCGAGTGTCGATGTGACATCCCATTCCACAAGTCCCGATGACTCACTTGACAAAGCACTATCTATGACATCGTTTAATCGTGTCATTAAATCGCTTGTATCAACGTTAGAATCGTATGATCGATCGGATTCTTCGGATGAGACACTTGATTCAATGCTCGTCTGACTACTATCAGTCTCGCTGTACTCAGTTTCTGAGTCGGAGTCTTCGGAATTGTTATTGCAGGTGCAAAAGTTTTCATTGTCTTCGTTAATGCTAGTATCTGTGGTGCTATGCTCGGATATCGTGCTATAATCATCAGAATTGTTCTCCTCTAAGCTATGATATGATAATTACATGGAAAGACAAATGATATGATATTAGACGATGCATGATGATTTTTTTAATGTACACATTCAGTTTGTTTGATCCAAATAATATGCTTTAGTTATTGCTAAATGTGCTGGTTCAATGAACATGATTCTATTAATTACTAAATTACACAAATGGAAGCATAAAATTATGATAATTACGAAACACATGCAAAATGAGGGTGACCTTAAAAATTTTCTAACAAAAGCTAACGAGGTATTTGTTATTTAATACTTACAAAGCTCGGTCGGTTTCGCAGTGCCATGCTTCGGAAGTTGAGCCGGATGCTGTCGGGTGTTCAGGCCGTTTGCTAAAGAAGTAGTACAAAGCCGCGCCAACTCCGACGCCTATAGCCGCGGCGGCGAGGCCTAAACCGCGGCTAGGGCAGTTCCTCTGATTGTCCTCTTCGCGGAAACTCATCTCTGATAACTTATACAAACAGAACAATCTTATTTTTTTCAAAATCACCTATTTTTCAGTTAATGCGTTTCGTTATTTCGTCTTTCATAATCCATATGTCAACAGTCATATGTCAGTTTGTAAATAATACCATATGCTTTTCAATTGTCAAACACGAAATGCGGCAATGTATCAGAATATTTTTTTATATTAAACATTTCTTTAAGAAAATATTTTTATAGAATACTGGTGCTGGTATTTACATAATATTTTAGCTGATAAAAAAATAATTCACTTAAATAAAAGAGTTCAAAATTCATACGCAACTATTCAAAGTTTGATAGGATCTGAAAAAAATATTTGTTAACTTATTAATTTTTTACTATATATGTATTTAAAAAAGTATTATTCTTATAGGAGTTTAATACTTTCGAGACGGACAATTTCGTATAAATTTTGATTAAAATTCAAGTTATAGGTATCTTTTAAATATTATACTTAACGGTTTCACTAGCCCTTATGAAAATCTAAACTCGTTTCACTATTCACTATAAATCTAATAGGAAAAAGGACAGTTTCATATTTTATATACATATTTATTATTTGGTGTTATCTATTTACAGATGATCAAAATTCATAATACACCCCATTCCTAAGCTGTCAAAACTCTTTTGTTGTCCTCTATAAAATGCATTGTGGACATTTTTGATATAACATGTTACGTACGCGCTACATATGAAGAAAAATAAAATGAACATCGCCGGGTCGACATCTTTGTATCGCTAGTTTAAAAATATAAAATAATGAAATGAAAGAGTTAAAAAATGTCTGCATTTAAAATACGCGTTGTTTTTGTACACAATAAAAGACATTCGGATCTCTTTATCATCCTACTTAATATTGATTTTACAATATACTGGCGCGAAATATTTTAAAATTTGTCAAATCCGTATAAGACATTCCAAATTCAAAAATATTTTTTTATCGTAACGTAACAGTACATGTTATGACAGTCTAAATTTAATAAAGTATAGAATAGTACATACTTCTAATGTATAGTGATTCTTTCTGTTTTAATAATATATGTAATTAAATTTTATTTTTCATGTTTAGACCACAGTTTTCATACAAACTTTGAACACTATAATCGCCAACGTCCATACCACGTTGAATACACCGGTTCTCGTCCGATCACCGAAGTTAAGCAACGTCGGGCGCGGTCAGTACTTGGATGGGTGACCGCCTGGGAACACCGCGTGATGTTGGCTTTTTGTAATTTTTTGTTCGAGATTATGCATCCTTACCAATTTACGTTCATTATCGAACTAATTTATATTTTTTTTTTCGTTCTTATAAAACAAATTTTCACCAATTTTATTCAAGGTATAAATAAAACAACATTTACTTGAACATATATAATATCTGCCTCAAAGTAATATATACACGCTTGTGGCTTCAACATGTCTTGGTGTCACTCGTTACTCGCTTACATAACAGAGACAGCGTCACAAAACAAAATGGCGTCGACGGCTAACTATTAAATTTTAATGCATTGAAACGCCTAAGTCCTAAATTAATTACTCGTATTTTTATAACGAGATAAAGAAATTCATTAAAATGAATATATTTCCCGCCATTCATACAACGCTTTTCTAGTACCATGCATTCTGAGAGGAATCGACATATTTGAATCCTTAATGTTTTGCATTAATAAAGGCTCTGTTTAAAACATTTGATACTGTAATAAATGCTCTCATACTAAGAACATTCAACCTCTGTAATAAATGCTCCTTTCACATTCCGCCTATGTAATAAATGCTTCTATTGTATTTAGTTCGTCAAATTTATATATCATATATGTATAAAGTCGTTTGCACACAATTCCACATAATTCGGCAGCAACATATGCCTAACACCTTATTTTTGTGCCAAAACTAGCCAGAAACATATTTAATTTTTATATTTCTTATCAAATTAATTTCCCATACATTCTCATGCATAAAATGTATTTCTACTTAATTTAGATATTAGTTCCGTCCGCGAATTGTATAAAACTGAATGCAAACGCCATCTACCGGATCAAATATTCCATTAAAGACAAAAAATTAAGGCTTCAAACCAACTTATCATTAGTTATTTAAATGAGTTAAAATACATAGTTAATTGAAAAACTTTAAGCTGGTACTTGAAAAAAACCTAACATTTAAAGCGCGAGCGTCGCTATAACTACAAATGGCACTGCGTCATATATTTTATCGTTAGTACGAGTCTAAACTTATTACTGAAAGTTTGCAGTTCACTCTATCACGTGATTGGTAAATACCGCTGACTTTCCGTATTGAGTTTTGAACCTCGTACGCTATCAAGGAGTTCGTTTTTTTCTCTTTATAAGTATGAAAAAAATTACAATTAATTAAAGAAATAGTATTTCTTTTTATTTAAACATTTAAATAACCATTTCAGTCAATAAAAAAATAAACTCCATTCCCGGACGAAAATAGACGCGACGCTCGCCGCTTTGGAGAAAATTAAAAAAAAACCTACAGGATTACAAAAACTTATAATCTGTTGAGAGACAAAATGGCGTCAAAACGTCAGATTTCGCGCCAACACGCCACAGACTATAATGAAGCGAGGGCTTTATGTACTATTTATTTTATTTGACAGTAAATGCTCCGGGTTCTATTTCATGTGTGTGTCTGTGTCTGTGTGTGTGTGTGTCTGTGTGTGTGTGTGTGTATGTCTGTGTGCGTGTTCGCTTGTCCTCTATTCCCTCAGTTTCAGAGCGTGGTCTTTAATCAGACCTCCATCCCCTTCAGAGACGAAACGCTTGCGGCCCCTGGAACGTAATACATGCTATGTTAGATACAGATTAAACTGACTCAAAGAGGATGTTCTATAATTTACTCAATTTATATGATTGGGTCCGATTTTGATATTTCTTTGAACATTTGAAAGGTTCATATTTTTGTGTGTGTGTGTATGCATATGTCAATATATTACTGTAATCATAATATGTTAGACATGGGTACACGGACTGCAGTTAACTGCTTGAACACTCGGTTATTGACTGCTCGAGCTGTCGCTACCTCCATTTTGAAAGATCAGTCGACAAATGAGACGAAACAGAGACAGAGACGCAGCGAGGTCAGAAAAGAATTGATGGGGAGGTCGTAGAGCTGTAAATGGCTCGAGCAGTCAGTGTATGCCTCGCGACTGCTCGAGCAGTCGGTCATAACTGCTTGAAGAGTCCGTGTACCGCTGGACAGCCGTTTTACATAAATTCTATCGGCTTATGTGAGTTTATATATATGTATATATAAAAGTTTAATTTGAATGCATGTGTATATCTATATACATTAATACAACCACTATACGTTGACCTCTTAGCAGTGAAACGTGTGTGTATGTGTGTGTCAGTATATATTAATACAATCTCTATATGTTGACCTCTCATCAATGTATTTGGAACGTACTTCAAAGGCAGCCCTAGAAGGTTCTTTTCAAATTTGGTAAAAAGAGGAGCTTGGACGATGGAGGTGATCGTTTAACGCGTTAGATAGGGGTCTCTTAAACCTACACCTGGGTCACAAGTCACAGTCACTGTTGAAGCTCCTCTCACTACAACGATGGACCCGACACACGCACCGTGAATACATGGAATGATGAGAGGTTTCGTCTCTGTGTGTGTGTGTGTGTGTGTGTGTGTACCTGGTGGGCATCCTGGCCAGCACGTGATCCCCCAGCCTGAACCTCAGCTGACACCGCTCCACGAACCTGTCCAGCATGATGTAGGCCAGCGGCACGTCCAGCACTATGTCCGACATGTCCTCCAACACGCGGAGGAAACCCTATGGAAATAGAAATTAATATACAGACTTACTCATATACTGGTGAATTACTATCAATATTTAAGAAGCATACTCGGTACATGATTCTCATTCGAATTATGTAAAAAAAATAGGTACTTAATTTTTGACCAAATTTCCGTATAAATAAATAAAGTGTGGATACGTTCCAAGTGTGGACGCGTACGGCGGCGTGCTGATACAACACTACGCCGCCGCACGCGCGTGTGTGTGTGTGTATATACCTAATCTGTAGGGTGTTCACACGATGCGTAATTAATTACATAACTTTTGGTTAACTTTACTTAGAAGTTTATTAATATTTATGTTATATTAATGTTTATTTTGTCATATATGATCGTCAAATATCACGTCCTCAAGTATCGATAGTAATTCACCAGTCACCCTGTATATATAAGGTCAGCGGTATCCTAGTGGTTAAACGGTCCGCCTCTCATGCACGAGGGCGCGGGTTCGATCCTGGCAAGTACCAATGTGATTTTTCCGAGTCATATGTACTTTATAAGAGCATTTAGACATCACTGATTAATGCATTCCCAAAGAGGGTGTTACTGTACTACAATTTTATAGAACTTATCATTATCTACAAAGAACGTCGCGACATCATATCTGTAGCTATTATATGTAGTATTTGTATAAGTGTCATGTTTAGTGCGAGTGCGAAGCCGCTATATGTATAATAACATCCATTATAATGTTCACAGTTTTTCATATTATTATTCATATAATAAAACACATTATTATATATGACAGTTGATAATAAACATAATTAAATTTCATTTATATTTCGTTGTCACTACTTCACAAGTACTGTGATGTTTGAATGTTTGCTTTTCTTTTTAAGTTTCTTCTATTTAAGTTCTAGGTACTAAAAGAATAAGATAAAAAAACTGTACATAGCAAAGCAATAATACTATAAATTATAATTTTTGTAAGAATAAACTCGTGGATCTGATAACAGAAGTTTTATTTGAGCTAGTATATACATACATGAAATTATATTGTATGTTTGTTATTAAAAGCTTCACACTGAACACTAAAGTATATAAAATATCAACATAAAAATTTAGTGAAATCTAAGATTTTCGCGAGTACTCATTTAAATGAAACTAATATTTTCGGATTTATTACATGATCACGGGCAGACGAGATGTACTCTTAATAATCACGGTTGCTGTAAAGTAACAGAAACGTCGGGAGTATGTAGTTTATAGACAAAAATAAAAATCGCGTAGTACATCCGCAAAATATTAGTTTCATTTAAATAAAAATGTAATTTGTTTAAATGTATGTTCAAATTAGCGGGTGTTTGTTTCGATTAATCTTTATAACGGCTGGATCGAAATTTATGACAATTCTTCTCGCAAATAGGTGATATCATTATGGGTAAATAAGTCTATTTTATAATCGACTGCAAATGAAAACACTTTCAAACCCACTAAATGGTTATAAAGCTATTACACATTTAATTATATACTGACTTTCAAAATTATTTTGTCTCATAAAGGAATCTTCAAGATATCGATTAAAACTCATAAATCTCATATTCACATGTGATTAATATGATATGATATATATTGTTAGTAATAATTATTTATAATGATTTAAATATTTGTCTACTTCAAAATTCTAAGCTTCATGTTATTTATATTCTAATATTTATTGGGAATTCTTATGATAGTCAACTAGCACCATCTGTATATTCGGTTTAATAGTGTAAATTAATGTTGATAATATTTCTGTACAGTAATTTAAATGCTCAAATACTTAACAATTGGTTTAATAATTTATAATGAGAGCCTTAGCATGTTTTGCACAATATTAAGTGTTTTATTATTTATTGGGAACTCTTGTGAGGGGAACTAGTTCCAAATATTATAACCCACCGTCACCTAAATGTTACTTTTGAATATTATAAATATGATACAAGTGTTAGACTGGGGATTCGGTTACAAGTTGTGGAGTAGTTAACATCTAAGTGGAAGTGCTGCCCAAATTATTTCTAACAATATATATATTCATCATGTATTATCCACATACCCTGTCCATCTGGTCAGGAGTAACGATCACACATCTCCTCAGTTCAGCCAGGAAGGTACAGAGCTGTTCCTCTACGCTGGAGTTGATAGCTTCCACTGCTAGTAGCACCGTCTGGAAAATATACGATTATACATGTAGGATATAGATATAGATGGGATTATAGATGTAGATGTGTCAGTGGTGGCTTAGTGGTTAAAAGGACCGCCTCTCATGCATGAGGGCGCGGGTTCAATCCTGGCCCGGGCAAGTTCCAATGTGATTTTTCCGAGTCATATATACTTTATAAGAGTTTTCAGATATCACTGATTAATGCATTCCCAAAGAGGGTTGATGTCAGGCAGGTGGCCGATCGTAAAAATAAATAACCAAAACTATTCACAACATGTAAGGCAGACTTTGGCTATAGCTGGGAAATTGACAGGTAGAAGAAGAGGATTATAGATATAAATGATAAATACAAGGTTGATACATTTATGTGTATATATGATTGAAAACTATGCGAGAACTGAAATAATTTAACGTAACATATAAAACAGCAGATTCAAAATATTTAGAATTTACAGTGTTTATTTTAGAAAGTCACCTAGTAATTTATTTAGTACTAGCTTTCCGCCCGCAGCTTCGCCCGCTTGGAGTTCGGTTATATCGCGTTTTCAAGAGAACCTTTCAAAAGTCTGGGATAATAACTATCCTATGTTCTTCCTCAAGGTCAACTCTCTGTCTGTACCAAATGTCATTAAAATCAGTTCAGTGGTTTAGGCATGAATGCGTAACAGACAGACAGACAGAGTTACTTTCGCATTTATAATATTAGTAGGGATTTATAGTGTTTATATCAGAACTTCACCTAGTAATTTAATAAAATTATGTTCATTTTCGTTATTTTTGTAATATTTTTTTTATATCCTTTTTTGTATAATTTTGTTTTGTTTTTCTTTGTGTGTATGTCAATAAATGTCTTTTCTTCTTTCGTCTTCTTTCTTTAATTTATTAAGTATGTATGTTTGTCTTCTATATAATATACTGACCTCATAAACCAGTTCGTGATGGAAGTGTGGTACTTCCAGGTCCCTGACGCAGCGCATGGCCTCGGCCAGGTCCCCGGATGTAAGATACTCCTTCAGCAACAACTGGATCTGACGTATCAGGGATTTGACTGGCCTGGGTGGGATAAGGATGATTACATATATATACTAGAAGACCCAACGAACTTCGTATCGCCCTATAATCACGAAATATCTGTTACGTTTTTTTCTTTATATTTTTGGAGTTTACCTATTAAAGCCATAAATCTCCGTGTTTTGAAGTGCGACAGAATGATTGACATATTAGTTAGTTGTCAAAACTAATGTCAAAGAAAAACTTATAGATATATGAGACAAACAATGTTAGAAAGTATATTGAGAAATTATTTATAGAAATAACATTTTATATATGGTAATTTGAGAAATGGTTATTTCAATCTGTATATAGGCTTATAGAAATGACATTTTTAGTTTGTACATAGCCTTATAGAAAGATGTTTCGAGTCTTTGTAGCCTTGTAAAAATTACAATTTGATCTTATATAGAGGCTTTATAGAAATTACATTTTGAATCCGTATGTAGCCTTATAAAGATGATATTTTGAATCTTTGAAATCCATGAACTACCATTGGATAATGTAGATATGATATGCACATTGGAAGCAGATTATCAGAAGAAAGTTTAAGCTGAAATATTTTCTATATTAACGACTTTTAAGGTAATTATTTCACAATTAGTTGTGTTAATTGTGAAAATGTTTCAGCTTAAACTTTCTTCTGATAATCTGCTTCCAATGTAGATACGGGGAATTATCCAAAGCTAGTTAAGCGGATTTGCACTATCCCGACGGTATATATTTATTAATATAAAGTATCTTATAGAGACAGAATAAATGACTATTATTATTATCTATCATTACCTGATGCCACCTCCAACCCCCCATATATTGTCAAGCCTGACCAATCCTTGCTTCATTGATAAGAGAGTCTCTGCCCTGTTAATTGCTTGTCTGGAAATATATATAATAAAATATATTATTCTCTATTGCTAATTACTTACAGACACTATGTGAAATATAGTGGCTATATATAAAAGAAAGTCGTGTTAGTTACACTATTTATAACTGTAACGATTGTACGGGTTGATGAAGATTGGTGGAGAGATAGATTAGAACATAGAAACGGACATAGGATATTTCATTCTGTTCAATTAGAACAGAAAAAACTTAATTAACCCTAATATCTGGTTATTTACGGCCTTTAAGGCGGAATAGAGTTCGAAATGTCAGCTATACATATACAGGGTGACTGGTGAGTTACTATCAATATTTAAGGAGCATACTCGGTACATGATTCTCATTCGAATTATGTAAAAAAAATAGGTACTTAATTTTTGACCAAATTTCCGTATAAATAAATAAAGTTTGGATACGTACTCATCCTTGCCGGCGCCAGTGTGTCGCTACTCCCCAACCCCCGCCCCGTGGCTAGCGGGCCATTAGTCGGCTATTAGTCGCGCGAGGTCCGCCGTAAGGTCCGTACGTTCGTCTTCCCGCGCGCGCGCCTAGCGATCGATCTTACGCGTATACCTAATAATAATCTGTCGTGTGTGCGTGTGACCCGTTATTACTTATTAGTAATTAAATATGGCTTTTCAATACACAAATGCAGAATACTTGGACATGGTTTATGCGTATGCGCGTGCAAATGAAAGCTTGCGGGGCGCAATCAATTTGTACCGGGAGATGTTCCCCAATCGTCGAGTACCTACGGCCAGCGTCATCTTAAACGCTAATCAAAGATTACGAGACTTCGGACAATTCCGTGTTCCAACACATGCCCAAGGAAACGTCTTGTGTATGCTACAATGTATGTCAACAGAGAGGAGTTGAAATTAAAAATCAATAGTGCTTTCGAAACTTAAAAAAGTGACCCATTCGTATTAAATCGTGTGAAAGACAATATGTGTAAACGTGCCGAACTGTGTATCACACGAGAAGGAGCTCGCTTTGAACATTTGTTAAGGTTAGTGTAGTTATGTAGGTAAATAGGTAGTTTAATGATTGACAATTGTTGTAAATAAGAATGATTCCATTTTTAAATACGCCGGAAATACCAAGATAGGTAAACAGTTCATATTATTTTTCGTGTCAAGGTCACACCATTTACCTAGTCAATAAATTGGTTGCTTAAACGAAAGAAATATCTTGGTATTTTTGCCTGTCCTAAGCCAGGATTAAAGTATGAAGGGAAATGGATCATTTTTGTTTATCTAAGGTCTAACACGCGGCGGCGCGCGGCGTTTGGATGTAGGTAAACTACCGCGCGATAACTACATATACCTACGTACATAACTGTTTTGTGTCGATAACGCAGCTAGGGTATCCACGCGATCCGTAATTAATTACATAACTTTTGGTTAACTTTACTTAGAAGTTTATTAATATTTATGTTATATTAATTTTTATTTTGTCATATATGATCGTCAACTACCACGTCCTTAAATATTGATAGTAACTCACCAGTCACCCTGTATAACTACATAATGCAAAAATTAACGGGGACGAAGTCGCGAGGAAAAACTAGTACTATACATAAATATATATTGATTTTCTACCATGAGCCAAGGTTTTAAGTATAATTTATGAGTTATGACCCCCATATTAGGTACACATGACCCCAATGATAGCCCAAATGTGGGTCTTAACCCCCAAGATTTAGCTTTTTTGGCTAAAATCTGTATTTCTATAGTAATCTATTCACCTGGCCGATGAATTGAGATCAGCCCCAGTCTTTGATTGCACGAATTTCGGCGGCAGACAGTCATCTGCTACGCATCGCGCTATGAAGTTGGACATTAGTATGGCAGCCTCGGGCGTGTCTAATACCAGGTCCGGGAGTTTGTCCAGAAGACGCTCGAACGCTGGAATGTTATATTAATATTAAATATTAAGATTACCATTATAATATTAAATATTAGGAATATTGGCGGGGTTAAGGGATAATATTAGAATTTTATAAGAAACTGTTAATATATATAATGAATTTATTTGTGACATTTAGATTATAGTATTATTAGAAGTATATACGCTAGATTAGATATAGTATAGTAGATGACTCCAGGGTTTGTTCGTTTTTCTCGTTTAGTGCGATGTTATAGCCTAATAAAGCTGTAAGAGCTTCAATTTAGTAAATTTAATTTATTTAATCGAATTTTATGACAAAAGTTCGCGTTTGTGTGCGTACGTGTTTGCTGCATGTATGCATGTATGTGTGCGTGCGTGTGTGTGTGTGTGCATGTGTGTGTGGTGTGTGTGCATGTGTGTGTGTGCATGTGTGTGTGTGCGTGTGTGTGTGTGTGTGTGTGTGTGTGTGTGTGTGTGTGTGTGTGTGTGTGTGTGTGTGTGTGTCTGTCTGTGTGTATGTATCCCATACCGTAAGCTATATCCTTAGCGGAGAACACCCTGCCGTACAGATCAGATATAAGTACGGAGGCCATCTCGCAGTGTGACGGCTTGTGGTCTAGAGCTATCTCGATGATTGTTTCACACACCTGGAAATGAAGACAAAATTACCGCTAGACTTAATATTCTCACTCAATAAGCCTTGTTAAGTTATAATTTAGGCCAAATAGGGTCCAGGTCCCAGGTCTTATGGAATATACCACAAAATTACTGCTGGAATTCACCATCCTCACTCAATAAGCCTTTTTAAGATTTAATTTAGGTCATATAGGGTCCAGGTCCCAGGTCTTAACGATATCTCACCAGGTGACTTCTAGAAGCTGTGACGAACTCCAGCAGGTCCTCAGCTGCTGCATTAGTGTCGCCATGCTCGAAGTACTCCAGGATCACCGGTTCAGATTTACGCTGGAAATATTATATATAATGATATGTATGGTCGTGAGTTTGTTTGTGGGAGATAATCTCGGGAACTAGTGGTTTCTATTGAATAGTTTTTTAGCTGATATGTAGCGAGGTTGTTCGTGAAGATTATATAGTAAACTAGCTTACCGTCCACAGCTTTGCCCGCGTGGAGTTCACTTATATCGCGTTTCCAAGAGAACTTTTCAAAAGTCTGGGACAAAAACTATCCTATGTTTTATCTTAAGGTCAACTCTACCTCTGTACTGCTCTCTCTCTATCTCTGCTATACTAATTACGATGAGACTTCCATTGTTAAGATAGATATTTAATAAGAACGATTTATATTGAAAATTCTGACACAGATAGATAAAGAAAGACATAATTATCTCTTACCAATACTTTGTATCTTATCACTACTACATAATATTATAAATGCGAAAGTAACTGTCTGTCTGTTACGCTTTCACCTCTAAACCACTGAAATGATTTTAATGAAATTTGGTACAGAGATGGAGTTGACCTTGAGAAAGAACATAGGATAGTTTTTATCAAAGACTTTTGAAAGGTTCTCTTGGAAACGCGATATAACCGAACTCCACGCGGGCGAAAGGCTACTTATGCTATAAACTCCATATTTATTGTGACAACACACTTAAGGATAGTTTTTATTTATCAGTGAAATTAAAATAATTTATATGTGTATGCAGAATATTAAACTGTGCTAAATACAAACGCGACCTCATTATGACCGGGTCAAAAGACTCTTAAACTGGGTATGAGAGAGAAAATATCACAACAGATTAATATGGAATTTAGTCATTTTTCATCATATAACATATGAAAAGAAACATTTACAGTAGAAACTCGATTATCCGGCCCTCAGTTATACGGATTCGGGATTATCCGGACTACGGACATGTCCCGACAAGTCCGGACAAGAAAAAATGTCAAAGCGTAAGAGAGTGGTGTTGTTGAGAGTGGCGTACGTCAAATGACAATTATACAAATATTTAAAGCAAATTGAACTTATTATTTTAATTCATTACCAATTGCAAATTAACAAATACATATTGTAATTTACTTCATCATTAAATCTGCAGTTTTTAGTACATACAAAGTAAGTATATGTATGTGTATGTAATCTAAGAAAATGTATCCATTAATTATTTATTAATAAACATTGATTATCGTTGATATGCATTTGTTCCTTTTTTTAAATAAACATATACAGGGTGACTGGTGAATTACTATCGATACTTGAGGACGTGATATTTGACGATCATATATGACAAAATAAAAATTAATATAACATAAATATTAATAAACTTCTAAGTAAAGTTAACCAAGTAAGTTATGTAATTAATTACGCATCGTGTGAACACCCTACAGATTAGGTATACACACACACACACACGCGTGCGGCGGCGTGGTGTGTGTGTGTGTATACGCAGCACGCCGCCACACGCGTCCACGCTTGGAACACTTGGAACGTGTCCACGCTTTATTTATTTATACGGATTTGGTCAAAAATGAAGTACCTATTTTTTTTACATAATTCGAATGAGAATCATGTACCGAGTATTCTCCTTAAATATTGATAGTAATTCACCAGTCATCCTGTATATAAAAACCCGCATTTCTTCATACATTCGATTATCCGGATTTTCGATTATCCGAATGCCTATCGACAACGATTAGTTCGCTTAATCGAATTTCTACTGTAGTAAGCAATATTTGAAGAGAATGAACTTAGTAGTCACTATAACGAACAGACTGTCGGTATCAACGTAAATATCTTAAGCCCTGCATCTTATGTTTGATCCAATCACTACATATTCTTAGTTTGACACAGTTCCAAGACTTGACGTGACCGCGTTTAAAGAGTTCGTTGACACGGGAGCGTTTACATTGATAAGCGGCAGCGGGTAATGTGCTATACATACATAATATATTTGATTGTAATTTAATATACTATTTATGAATTAACCATTAGCGATAATAATAGTTTGTCATGAGACTTCATACAATATATACAGTAACGTGTTAGCATAGGAAATATGTAATTCATTAATAATCGCTACCCGCTTCCGCGTGTAATGTAACCTCACGCTGTACGTGAGCGTGTCGCAATCAAAACATTACAAGACAACAATACAAACGCCATGTTGCTGACGTTATTTTTATATTAACATTTATATCATACTAGCTATTGCCGCGGTTTCGCCCGCACTAAATTATTATTATTTAAAAAAAACAATTACGATTTCTTAAAAAAAAAGGATATAAAATCACTCTTTATACTTGAGCTATTTATTCTTCTTCTTCTTCTACCTGGCAATTTCCCAGCTATAGCCAGGGTCTGCCTTACATGTTATAAATAGTTTTTGGCTATTTGTTTTTACGACCGGCCGCCTGCCTGACATCAACCCTCTTTTGGGAATCAACATTAATCAGTGATGTCTAAATACTCTTAGAAAGTACATATGATTCCGAAAAATCACATTGGTACTTGTCCGGGCCAGGATCGAACCCGCGCCCTCGGCGACGAGAGGCGGGCCCTTTAACCACTGAGCCACCACTGACTTGAGCTATTTATTACCTATAGAAAATCCCATCAAAATCGGTTCAGTCGTGAAGAAACAGAGATAAAAAGTTAAATATGATTTTTGTTATATGCACGGTATGCATGCAATTATATTATTATTACAAACAGACAGTAAATTTTTTGTATGTATATATTTATTTTTTTCTTGTGCAAATGCATAATTACTAATTAGTGAAGTCCAAGTTTTCTATATTGAAATTATACATGATATAAAATTATCGAGTTTTGAACCTACTTTATTAAGTAGGTTAAATAGCTAAAACAACCAAAAATTTAAACAAGATCATATATGTATATACATATATTACTTGACATACCTATAGCCAAAGTGAGTAGCCCTATGAGTACAAAATACCCATCTATCCATAACCATAACCCATCTATTTACCCATCTGAATAACATACACAAATTTTAATCATACAATACTCTTGACTCTCAACGCAGAACCAATACTATGTCAGAAGATATTAAGTAGCCACGGACAAGACATAATATTGTAATAAATTGATGAATAAAAAATGTATAAAATATTAAACTTAATCGTGTATCTATCTATCATTGTTAATTTTGATTAATATGAATTTATAATTATGATTGCATTGTTAATTTAATTTCTAATTTTATATTAATACAGTGTAAACTCCATATAACGACACTCGATTTAACGACAAACTCTCTAAAGCGTCGAAATCATTTGACTTTGGTTGGTTTAGCTTGTCTACCATACAATGATAAACTCTATATAGCGTCACAGCCACTCTCAATAACGACAAAATTAAGAAATAAAAAGTACCCTTTAAGTTGTTAAAATTAGTAAAAAATGCGCAGCTGTGTACTTTTTTTTGTCGCTTTGTTATCCTAGCCCGCAATAAACTCCACTGTCGTAATCATGCATACCAAACTTTCTAAGAAATTCGTTCTTCACCAATATGCCTCAATATCGCAAGATATGAATAAAATACGTAAAAAATACAACAACATTACTGGTGCAGCAAAACACGTCAAACAAAAACAACAGACTTTATAACATTCTTTTTTATGTACATAATTACTAACAGTAGTCTGAAACAAACTTTGTCTTTTTCTAATTCTGATTTTTCTTCCCTCTATTTAACGGCAACTCTCTATAACGCACAAAAATGCACGGTCCCTTCAGTGTCGTTATATAGAGTTTACACTGTAGTTAATTAAATTTATAATTTAAGACTAATATTTGCATGCCTTATGGTAGAATGTATTGGAAGTTATACTAAAATCTATATTCTGTACCTACATTCAGAGAAAATAAATATTATTATTATTGTACTAACTAATTCGTTTTAAGGTACTCACCACAATATCCTCAGGATCTGCTTCTACAATTACTTGCTTGAATTCCACATCACCGTTAACAGCTTCGGAGTCATAATTGGGGTCATTAGCGTCCTCAACGTATTCCTCTAGCAATTCGGACCCAGGTACACCCCACACGCCTTTACCGCCGGCGCCACCTAGAGTATAATATTATTAATCACATTGAATCCTTTCATTTGATACCCATATTGATGTCCGCCATTTTGGAATCCGCCATATTGAATCTAGTATTAAACTATTTTAATCGTTGCATTCATATTAAATTCCACCATTTTAATTCTAATATGGCGTCTGTATTACACTATTGTATAAGTGCACCGTTTCATTTAATACCCCTATTAGTATCCGCCATTTTGGATTCTCCGCCATATTGAATCTAGTATGACGTCACAGCTAACTCAACTCGTATATAAAAGTAATTATAAAATCAAGTTTCAAGATTACGTCGGAACGTCGTCGCATACATACACACACATCGCAAGTTAATTAGAAGCTTGCAAAACAGTACGTTACTAAAACGGTTTTACAGATAACTTTGAAACTGAGTGTGTTTCGGTAAACAGAAGCACATACTAAGGCTAATATTTTTTTATCTACATAATAAAATCTTAAACCATTGGCAGACCCTGGCTAAAGCTGGGAAATTGCCAGGAAGAAGAAGAAGAAGAAGAATAAAATCTTAAACCATCGTATGACGAATAATAATTTTAATACATACCAAGGTTAATTGTGGATAAATTAGACACAAAATATCAAATTAAAAAAGTCAACAAAATCGATCTAGCTATAAATAAAGGTATAACTGTGAGAAAATTCCACCAAACATTCATGACCTACCAGTAGAAAATAATTAAAGTAAAATTAAAATAATTGTATTGAATAAACTGTATGACCGAGTTCAAGAAATTCTGGTTAAGAAAACGGTTTTTGAAGTAATAACTTTTTATGTGAGGGAAGACCGTTACGTAACGTAACGCGTAACGCCACTCAGTCTGTCCCTTTCTTTCATACGGCATCAGTATTACTTGCGGTAAAGTAATATTCAATTTATTTATTAACAGATTATCACTTTAATGTATGAAAAATAAAAGTAAAAAACTATTTAAAGTTACTCAATTTTTAGTCGCTAAAATTTGTTTTACTCTTGATTCAAATATCCCATCATATCATACTTATTGTTAAAAACTTTATAAGCTTAATATTACTGAATGAAAACATCTTTTAACTTCTGCAATATAAAATTTCAGGTGCTTCTTTAAGTTCCAGGCCTCTGGTTAAATCCAGATGTTAGATATAAATTCTTCTTAACATATATTCTATTTGAATATTTATTTTAACTATTGATATCAGTCTTTTATATAAATATATACATATATACTAGCTGACCCAGCAAACATTGTTTTGCCATATAAAAAATAGGGGTTGGTGATAAAAAAGTAAATTATTGGGTTGTATATATTTTACAATGCTACATTATAAAAAAATAAATAAGAAAAATTTGGCTGGAAAAAAAGGGTGAACGACAATTATGACTTAGGGGTTTGAAAAATAGATGTTGGCCGATTCTTAGACCTACTCAATATGCTGACATAATTTCATCGAAATCGGTCCAGCCGTTTCGGTGGAGTTCTCTGTCGAACACCGCGACACGAGAATGTTATATATAAGATTAATACACCTACAAAATCTCTATCAATAAAAAAAATAGTTTATAAGCTATGTATAATACACAAACAGACAAACAAAATTAATTGAATATAATATTATACATATAATAATTCCTGCTTGTTTATTTTGGTATTGTTATCAGTAGTGGGGTGTGTTATCACTACTCATGGCTTGAGTTGACTGCAATAATAAAATAATTATACACATATATACATATACACATATATATATATAATGGATTAGGTCGGCAAAATTTTTGAACTTATCATATTTAAAACTGTTAAATATTGTAAGTATTTACTGATATTTATTCCTATTAGAGACGAAACCTTTCATCATTCAATGTATTCACGGTGCGTGTGTCGGGTCCATCGTTGTAGTGAGAGGAGCTTCAACAGTGACTGGGACTTGTGACTGGGATTTGATATTATAAGTCCATGTATGTCTAAATATTAATATATTTAGACATACCAAGTATGTCTAAATACTCTTACAAAGAACATATGACTTTCAAAATCACATTGGCACTTGCAGGGTTTCGAACCCACATCCTCATGAATGAGAGTGGACCTTTAACCAGTAGGTTAACATAACATTATTATTATAATAACAACATTATTTAAATTTAAATGCAGGTATATAAATTACTTTGTAACCGATAGATTCTAGTTTAAAAATCCAAACAATGGATAATGAATGGTTATACCGCAATGTGTCAATTATTATATATAAACAAAAAATGTATTAAACCTATTATATATATTTTATCAAAAGTATAAAAATAAATTTTAAAAATTAATACTCGTCTTTAATATGGTAATACAATAAGCAATGCCTGGATAATTAACTAGTTGTATATATACTTGTAAAAAAATATAATAAAAAATTTAATAATATTTTTATTTGTTAATAGAATTAATTCATAAGTAATTGTATTCATTCTCTATAATAGCAGGCATTATATAAAAAAACCTTTGTATATATTTTTTATATTATAATATGTCAATCAAGAATAATTCGATAAGAACAGAAATTTATTTAAATTAAAATAACTACGTTTAAAATAAACGCGACAAAATTCTATTTAGACGGAAGGCATTTTATTTTCAAATAATACGAGTGCACAAGGTCGAAAAACATTAGCAACCTTGATAGAACCAAAAAATATCGTTTCGCGCGTAAATATATTTTTATGATAAAACTTATAGAAATTAGTTACTAGATATATTTAATTATTTTTTTTATCGGACGCCCTACATAGCCTTGATAGTCGAAAGTTGTTTACAAATACCAGGCGTTGCGTAATAAGTCATTCAACTAGCATATTGAGATGCATAACCTACCCTAAATGATGCTGTGATGCGCAAAAGTGTTTGACCTTGAACAGCGAAATGCCGCACGTAAATACAGCGAAGCCGGTAAACAAAACATGTATCTACGATTCCGATGTGAAGAGAATCCAGAACGTTCTATTGTGTATGGAAATAGAACTGTATTTATATTCATAAGCCTACCTTTCTTCGGCAGTCCCCTGCCGTGACCATTGCGCGGCCGGCGGCTGTTTTTCCAACTTCGATATTTAGGTAGAGGTGTGGTGCCGGGGCTTGCGCCTTCTTTGCTGTTGCTGCGGGTGTATTTTTTATTTTTGCGTCTTAATTTCTCTGAATGAGAACCGGTGGCGTCCCCAGCGCCGCCATCCGCTACTTGTTTCACATTCTCATCCGCGGCCACGTTTTCCGAATCGGATGCGGCGCGATCAACTTCCATCGCGGCGACAACAACCGGCTTCGGGTGGGACAGGGAGGAAGAAAAACTCTTTTTTATGGCAACCGACAGCCAATCCACTTGGATTCAACTAGGAAAAATAGTTGATAGCGTCAAAGGGCAATCATAAACAAAGGGGATACTGATTTCATACAGCCTGCGTATTTGTTTTGAGTATCGGAACACATTGACTATTGACTGAAGTTAGCTAAATAACATGAAACTACGTCATGTGTGCCAACTTAAAGATAATTCAAGGTTAAATTTATTCTTACTCTATATACAAACAACATAGCTTATCATTTTGATAATGTTTATGATAACATTATATATGTTAGTTAATTATTTATTATATCAAAAATAAAAATTAATATATAGTTATGATTGTTAGATAATTGTCTCAAATATTCAATATGTATAAAAAGAAATGAACATGACTATTAACATTTACGACATTTTGTTGCATGGCTGCAATTCACAAGACTGACAACTTAAAGAACTTATCTATAAATAGAAAAAAAAGTAAACATGTTTAATTTAATACTATAATTAATATTTTGTTTTAGCTTTTGAGTCTGTTTTATTACTTAATATTAAAAATTCGAATTTATTTCCACAAAAACACCAATGTTTCATTTATAAGCTGTTATATTTTACACATGTCAACTGTAAATGTGTTTTCGTAATCTGACAATTGGTGTTTACTATGTGGTAGTTTAAAATTATTTTAAGTTCATATAAATACAAAACTTATCTCATAAATTACAAGTACGGCTATGAAAAGTATAAAAAACGATTTCGTATCCAAATTTTATTTATTAAATTCACAAGAGAACAGCGATGAGATAATTTGGTCGAGCGATTCCAGTGACTATGAAACATCGTACAAAGAAAACACAATAAATAAGTGCAACAAAATTACAAACAGGAAAAGAAAACGTGCTAATAAACATTTCAATATTTCCAATTTAGACATATCTTTCACTGAGTCCCAGGACGTTGCGAAAACTTCAAAACGAAATTCAAATTGTAATAATGCAGTATCACCTATCATTAGTTCAGGAAATATTAAAAAGACTATTGCATTAAGTCCGGTAATACCGTTAAAACGTGATTCGCCTCAAATAAAAGTAAAAAAGAAGTTATTCGGCCAAGAGAATAATTATGAACGAAGTTTATCTGAAGGATGCAATATATTTACAAAAACTAATAGAACCTTAAAAGAATATAATACAAATACACGAGACTTAAACCGAGTTAAATTATTACAAACAAACGAACATCAAATAAGTGAAGCTTCGAATAAGTTAAAAGATAAGATTAAATCATATTTTGATAGTAATTTCAGCTCCGGATCCACTCAACACTCGATAAGTGAGTGCGAGACTGAGAGTACAGCCAGCAATGAAGTAGAAATAACCAGTTCTCTATCTCAAGTGATGCCAATTAAGCTGGAAACAAAATCCTCTTCCGATAGCCTAACAAGTATATACAAAGAGGCCAAGTCCAAAAAGGTTAAATACAAAAAAGGTGGACTATCACACAGGCTGAATGCGCTCATAAAAAAACAGAACTCATCTTTCTCGTTGTGGCACCATGAAAGGTTTTTGGCGGTAAATTCGAACTTTGTTATACCGAGGGAAGATTTCTTTGTTTACCAAATAAAGAATGTGATTTGTAAATATGGTGTGACTTTATTAAATGCAGCAAATGATGATAATTTGAATTATTTGATTGTTATCAACAATATATATATTAAAAATGATTTATTTGAGAAAAATTTAGTTTTTAAGCTTTATAAACCATTTAGAGTAATATGTTTTGATATGTATAAAATAGTGGTGAATGTTTGTAAATTTGAATGTACAGGTGTTGGGAGATGAGTTGTGATAATAAAAATATTTTTTTCATTATTAAACCTCTTTTATTTGTTGTTTGTTCTTGTTATTTAGCAAAAAGGTTGTATATATATTTAATTTGCTTGCACACAATGTGACTTTTAGAAAATTATAATAAAAATTTGCTTTACAAGTTTCTACCTTTACATATATATATTATGTATACATAAGCCAAAACTATTCACACTCAACATTCTCACATCATGGAAGGCAGAGCCTGGCTAAAGCTGGGAAATTGCCAGGAAGAAGAATATATATACATATATTATTTTATCATACATTTATAGGTATAGTAAAAAGTACTTGATGATTTTTTTGTTAACAGGTGATATTCCATACAAATGATAATTAGGAAATTACTAAAGTTTTTCTTTGAATAATAACTGTTAGAATTATCGTTTGTTCCCGCTAATCTCAGAAATGACGATATTAATTTGAATTCCATTTTCACATCGATTTTAACAGGCTTTCGCCTAAATCTCTAATCATATTTTATTTTAATTGTTTCATAAATAAAAATATCATAGCTAATTTAGTAATAAAGAATTTATTAACGACATAGTATTAATTCTTGGCCAAATCCAATTAAAAACTAAAACGAATAATAAAAAAAACTATAATGTCGAGTTTATAAGGAAAATTTATCAACTATTTTCCCTAAATATAAAATCAAACGAAAGCATCCAACATGGCAACCCTAAAACCAATAGTGTAATTTTAACTCACAGATCTCAAAGCTTTTACACTTTAGTCAATATCACAAAACATACGAAGTATCACGTTCCTATTATAATAATAATTATATTAATACAAAAAAAAACCATTTGTGGATTCGTTTTGTTCTAAATCGTTGTTTTGTAGAAATTATCGATCAACGAACAAGGAGGTGAGGTTCGATTTGTTTATTTTATAATGTAATGTTTTCAAATCGATACACAAGTTATAATTAAATACTAATTATAAGTAATCTGTATTGGTAATGTTTATAAATAAAATAATTTGCGCTTAATCAATAACATATCTTTATATTTCAATTAAATAAATAAAAGATTATTAAATATATGAGCTGAGCTTATAAATGGTTTTGGATGTACAGAGAAATCCTTGTACTATTTTAAAATATAAATCTCCTTAAAATTCAGTTAATTTTGTTATGTATTTAGAACAAGAATAAATTAAAATAGTCTTATTGTATCGCGATAATTACTTTAAGCAAAAAACAATAGCTCTTTTTATAATACAGACTGGAAAAACCACAGCGGGTAATTAATTGCAAAAAGGTTTTGTATACATTGAAAACATCACAGGGAAACCGACAAAAATGTTGAGTCGAAAAAATTTATGCAATCTGTTGAAAAAACGATATATATGTATATTTTATTATTACATAGAGTGTGTATAAGATATCGTATTTTAATTTCCAAGCTATTACTATTTATAAAGATTTTAAACAATTTTTCAGCATCTGAAAACCAGAAGTCATAAAGCTGTATGTTTTAAGCAGCAGTTAATTAATTATATTGTATACAAAATCAATAAAAAACTGACAAAACAAACTTAAAATAAGATAAAATATCTCGGATGTTTTAAGGTGTCTGTAACCAATTAATTTTTTGAAAAAACTATCAAATGACACTGTCATTTGTCAACTAATATATTTTGACATTTATTTTAAATAAAATATAAGATTAAAATCACTAGTCTTCTTTATATAATAATAATTAAACAAACTCCTTCGTGTTTTCACACAGTACTTAAGATTTTAAATCGTCTAACAAATAAAAACGTCGACATTGGCAGAATATTACACGATTCCAGTGCGAATGAAGACATAGCATAAAAAAAATTGTCAAACAAATACCAAATATAGCATTTGTCAAGTTTCTATAAGCTTCAATATTATGATTCCTTCTTATAAACCAATTGTATTAACTCCAACACCTGGAACAATTTCTCCAGGTGTCAGCTGCAAATTTGAACAGCTGTAAGCTTACTCCAAGTTCAAGTCACACTACATATAGATATATAATAGTTTTTCCTTTATTATTTTTACATAATCTTGGATCGTATCTTGGAAAAGTATTTGAACGGATGAAAGCCATATTTAAAACATAAAATCAAATCTCATATTATAGTTTTAACGTAGATTTTTAAAAGCAAATTGGAAATAATATGTAGTAATTTTGAGTAAAAATCATGCTAAGCAAATAGTGAGTTAGTAGTCACTTGACCGAAAAGAAAGGTAGTCGCGCAAGATTTGAACCAACGAAATCAGTAATTAATTAAATATACCATATTAAATATAAAATGTTAAAAAAATTGTTATATTCATATCAAAATATGTTAAAATTTTAGACATGACAATACAACTCAAAATTAATTTGATAAAAATCCTGTTTATTTTATTATATTATATATAAAACAAATTACTGATATCTATAATCATATAAATAATAACAATAATATTTTTTTATAAAAAAACCGGTATAATTATTTTCATTATATTTTTCAGAAATGTTACACCGGTTCAAGGACATCACTATCGCGCTGTTCACTCTCCTGCAATGTGTTACTTACGGTAAACACACATATGTATATTTAGAACGAACTATTTCAGAGAAGTAACGTGATTTATACACTATTTGATAATAAATATGATTTAATTCTTAAATATTTAGATATACGAATTATAAAGAGCAACCAGAGGTTCAAGGAAAACTACGAAACTTATATGTATATTAAAATACGAATTACATATTAAAACTTATAACCTACACCTAAGACTACATGATTGTCCCGATGTTATGATAGCAATACCATTCCATAGCTTGTGTGTATCAGGAATCTTCTGGTTCACACGCTTGGTGTTCGTTCCGCGGAGTCAGCGGCGTCAAGAGTTATATATTATACATACAACGATGTTACCCCGGCGATGTTCATTTATTTTTAATATGTAGCGCGTACGTAACACACGATTTTATGTGGATTTGTTATTATCCTAGGTTTACGAGTATATTAAAATCGCTTACTTACATCGAATATACAAAAAAACTAAAAAGTAAATTAATAACCACCGTTTTAGTATTATTTAAAATATATCTGAATTAAAGTCATTTTGTTTGGCTGTGTAGATGTAGACATTTACCTGAAACATATTTATATACATAGGTATGTGTAAAAGATAATGTGTTTACAATTTTAAAACAATACATTGTTTTGCTCTTTGACGTATTATTTGCTGTAATTATTTTGGTTAAAGTTTCAAATAACGTAGTTTAGATATCTGAATAATATATAAGCTATAATATTCTTTCATTCCGTGTATTTCCCGCCCAAACACATAACAACACTTATATGAAGTACAACGATGTCGCTACTAGTTTAAAGTCTATGCCGGCGTTAGAGGGACTCACACCCTGGGCAAGAATATTTTGGCGCCCACTTGAAGAAATCAAAATCGAGTCTTCATTTTTTTCTGAACCAATGTGAACACTGAACGTGTATTAACAATTCTATATTCTATCTTCCATCTTTCCTTTAGCAAACCAGAGCTAACGACGTGGACGTAGAAAGTTATGTAGCTCCTATTTTATTTTTTTTATTTATAAGTATTCTACCTCCACTAATCGCCCCCCAAATTTGGTGCCCTGGGCCGTCGCCCCATCGCGCCGCCCTAACGCCGGCACTGCACGTAGGTCACTATATGTATTGTTTTAACACACTACACATTACTATATGAGTAATATTCTCTGATGTTTGTGCTGTTTTAATATAAATATACAATTTAATGTACTGAAAATATAATATTATTTATTTCAGTTCACACAATAGATTGCTTCAAGTGCGTGTCAATGAACGGCCAGTTCCCGCCTTGTGATGATCCGTTTCATAATAACCACAGCTTAAACATGCTCGAGGGTCCTTGTATGGGAGGCAGGAAGGGAAGAGATGGATTATTTCCGGCTACGTCGTGCATCAAAATGGCGGGTGTTTTTGGTGAGTAAAGCTTTAATAATTGAATATTGAGTGTTTAATTTTGAGTACTAAATCTATACACACGATAGTATTAACTTATTTTTGTTAATTTAATGTTGTATGTCAAAGCAAAATAGTAGAAATATTCCGAGTTAAGTCGATCGATATTAGTTCTTAAATTTATACTAGATGGCGCTTATATTAAAACTAAAATTATCCTTAATAAAGTGGCGCCATCTCTTATTTTTTTACGATATTTATAGTAATATCAGGCATTCAGAAGAAATTGTTAACATAAAAACAACCTTAGACTTGATAGATATAAAGATAGTTTTTCTAAACAAAATTCATGGTTGAATTTAATGAGTATGAGCTGTATATAAACTTTATACTAAGATTATTTAGTTTATATTATAAATTTTGTTCGTTTAAAATTGTATAGTAATGTAATAAAGTGCTAGTCTCAACTCTCAAGCAATGCACTTGAAGTATGTGAGTATTGAGCCGCGGATACTGACTCTTCAATAAATGACATACACGAGATATTTTACAGTAGATATGTCTTCGGATAACTACGTTAGGAGATATTTTTGATTAAATTAAATTAAATGGATGAATTGTAATCTAAATAAAAGAAACATGTAGATTTTTTAATTGAAATTTCATATTGTCACGTAGAAATTGTTTGATTTGTGAAGATAGTAAGTAAGTTTGTGAATTAGCATAAATCTCGTAGATTAACATCTCATAAATAAATATCCTTTTTTATATTAAAGTTGATGTAATGTTGTTTTAAAACTATAAGTTTATTACTTGTACTTATTTTCATCAACTGTATAACATATTAACTCTTATTTTCTCTTATTATTCATGGACATAAAAGTGTTTGAAATAACGATTTTTTCATATTCTATTTCCTTAAACAATATAGCCATGGCGTATTTAAAAATACACACATATACAAAAACCTTTACATACAATTTTTAACATGATATCGTCAGATCAATCACAGGATATTATATCTTGTGCGTTAAGTACATAGTTTAATGCAGACTGTCCTTCCTGTTACAAATACCCTTTTAATTGGTTGTCTCAAATAGTTATCTAGACTATACAGTCTAGACCAAACAGTTTCTATATGATATGTTTATTTGTATAGATGATACCGGCGAGTCTATAACAGTCCGTGGCTGTGGTCTAGACTCAGGCACGGCTACCACCGACACTGAGATCATACGGATGTCGCACTGTGGAAGGTTTTACTATAACGACAGGTGAGATACACACATACACACACACACACACACACAAACACACACACACACACACACACATAAAGACAAAGAAAGAGACACAAATACAAAAGTACTGCTAACAAACAAAGATAAAATGATATGTATATTCTTTATACAACATATAAAGATTTTATATGTACGATATAACTTAAAATTTAAGTATATTGAATTGTATAAAGAGTTTCTCTTTCTTGTTGATTCAACACTCGAGTAAGACAGAAATCTATTATAGGAAAATACTTATAATTAAACAATATATCCCTACTAATATTATAAATGCGAAAGTAACTCTGTCTGTCTGTTACGTTTTCACGACTAAACCACTGAACTGATTTAAATGAAATTTGGTACAGACATAGAGTTGACCTTGAGAAAGAACATAGGATAGTTTTTATCCCAGACTTTTGAATGGTTCTCTTGAAACGATATAACCGAACTCCACGCGGGCGAAGCTGCGGGCGGAGAGCTAGTAATATATAAATATACATATATATATTTTTCTTAGATATGTCCACGGTTGTCTTCAGAGTTGCAACGACGCAGACGCCTGCAATTCCTCAAACACGGAATATTTAGCTTTAATAAATATAATCGTACCATTTATTTCATTATTGGTCTCCAGCTAACATATATATTATTAAATTAAGTGTATATACTTTAATATATAACATATTCATTTTGTTATATGGCAATACTATATTGTTTTTTTATGTTGGCAATACTTGGTTGAACACAACAATTCTGTTTTTTGTTTAGGCTGAGTATAACAATAATTCAAGTTAGAATAATATTTATAATTAATTATGCTAATATTTATTTAAAACTAATATTTTTTTTGTGATAATAAGAAAATCTACTATAATACATTATTTTTTGTATTTTTACCTGCAATTTATATTTTGTTATGCTTGAAAAGCTTTAATTTTGCACATATTTACTTAATAAGCATAAAATATATATTAAGAGTTATTTATATAGGTTTTTCAAGCTTATACATACCTCGGAAGTTGATTTGACAATCAACGATTTAGTTTTTCTGTTATTCTCATGACTTTGACAGCGTCACCAAGAGGGAACGACTTTGTGTTAATATAAGAAACATATCTATATATATAATTTTAAAATTTCATAGAACTTCATGTTATGTAATATTATATATTATGATAAATAATTTATTTAAACTATCAACCCTCAAGCCACCTATATAAGGAGCGCCATTACTGACAATCTGACACTTTTTGTTCTCAATTATTGTCAAGAGAAGAATAATATTAATAAATTGTCCATTGGCCGGCGAACGTTTGTTTTTAAAAGTCATAACGTGTTTTTCATTTCTAACTATATAAATTTGTAAATGTAATAAGATATCGGTTAATTAAAAGCACAAATAAAAATCATTATATATTTAAAACAAAATCGTTATACTCGACACATTTTTGATAATGAATAATTAAAATACACGTAGTATTTATTGTTTTAATTTATAACAATATTAAATAATGTAACAAATAAAATTGATTTATTAAATAATCATTGATTTTCATTCCCCTCCTCTTCTATGGCGTCCGTGAAGTCTGAACTGCTGAAATCGTTTGATGATGACGCTGTGGAAATATTGGCTTATTAGATGAGATAATAATAATAATAAAATAATTTATTTCAGTTAAAACAGCATTACAAAGAATAAATATATAAAACATACAGCGAACAAAAAAATAAATAAAAAGGAAATTTGCATACAAAATTACGATATAAGCAAACTTCTTACTTAATTCGACTTCTTACTTAATAATTACGAAATTTTTACTTAAGAAAAAGGTAAAACATTAAAAAATTTTAAAGTTATTGTTAATCTTATCGAGTTACTAGAGACAGAATTGAGGTGTTTTAACCAAAAAGGCTACTCAGCGTACTGCTGCAATAAATTTAGATTTATTATAGCGCTGGTTTTCAGTTGCCACCAGTTAATGTTTTGGACTATTAGCGGTACAGCATCTATAGAGATAGAACATGTTTTGTAAAACAAAACTGGGATAATAGAAGTTTTATTTCAATATTATAGGATCCCTGGTCCTATATGTAAGTATAACTAGTCACTGTCTCACTACTACCCCGTATAGAGCGCACGCACGTCCCCGTTCTGTGTCACGCTAGTCGTGAGTCTGCCGAGCGCATGCATCCCCTCTAGTGGGGTACGTGAGACAGTGTATTATATATTGTATAGATACAAACACTACAAATAGTAATATTTAATCTTGTCATAAATTTTGTTAGTACAAAAGATAAAATAAATAATAGGTATATTATTATTGTGAATCGTTTTCTTATTTTCTAGCAAAAATATGGTAAATTATTTTGTAATATTAAAATTGTATACGGTCATAGAAAAGCGAATTATTGTGATTCTGTACATAAAGTAGGTATGGAGCTAAATTTTTAATTCTTTACACGTCTGTTCATAGACAAGTATTTTTGTACCATATATACTTGGCTGATTACTACTAAATAGGTCTAACGAAGCAATTTTAAATAAAAAATAACTTCGACATGAAAAATTGTAAACATAATAATATAATCCAATAATATAGAATTTGTTGTAGAGTTAGGACCTGAATTGCAAATTTTTTACTAAAATCGTGTGTGCGTGTGTGTGTGCGTGCGTGTGTGTGCATCATATCACGATGTCTATCACACTCACACTCGATGATGGGGCTGGGTGAGGGGCTCGTATCACACTTGCACCGGCGCAGTTCTTCCAGAATTCGCAGCTCTGATGGCAGGAGCTCTGATTTCGCCTTCACATCCATTGCACCTGTGTAAAAAGTTTCATGCAAAACGTTACAGCCATTATATAATAATGAATTAATATACGACAACAACTGTTTTAAAAATATTTTTTTAAGTAATTCTATTTAAAATTCATAATACATTTTATTCCGAAACTTTTTTCATAGTCGTGACTTTTATGTCAAAATAGTTGAAGAATGTACAGATAATATTTCTAAGAGAAATAGAAATTTACTGCTTTTACAAAAAAGAAAGTTTGGTTATCGAAATTAGATCTTGAATTGCTTAAGTTGTTTGAAATAAAAATAACCTGGTTTTCACTTAAAATATAAAGGATAATAAGAGTTCCATATTAAACTATTACATTTTTTTTATACTAAGGCTTCTGCCTTAAGGCACAAGGCTTAAGGCTTAAGGCACTGGAATTTAGAATATTTTGTTAATATCAACGTTTTTATTTGTTGGAAGAATTACGAGTATAACATTGGAGTACTGTGATAGGTAATATTATAATATTTTCAAAAAAATTACTAAATTAAGAAGAAAGAAATGAATATTGCGTAATAAATTAATGTAGTCAAACTTCTTATGCAACTTTCAACATGGTTGCGTTAAACGTTTAACGCTTCTGGAGCGGAGAAAAAAAGAAGACAGAGCAAGAGAGAATGCGTGTCGCTCGAACGCATGCAATCAATAGTGACTTGTAAGTAATATTAATAAAGTCTATCATAAAGAAACACTGAAAAATCCTTTGATAACAATTTCTACCCTTTCCTTTTTTCATTTCATTACGAAGTTTTACTTCTTTGGTGGAATTCCAAGCGTTATTATTATTATTATCATTTTATATGAGAAAGATGTGAGTGGAAAATTTTAGAGGAGGCCTTTGTCAATTGGCAAAGAGGTCTACAGAAAATATGTAAAATTGAAATAAGAGACTAGATTAAGGTATATTAAATTCAAGTTTTCTTTGTTATTTTATCATTTAATTGTTTTATAGATCTGAATAAAAGGCTATTATTATTATTTTAATCCCCGACGCAAAAACGACCGGGTGTTTTAAGTTTGAAGTGGCCGTGTGTGTGTCTGTCTGAGGCAACATAGCTCCCAAACGGATGATACGATTTTAATGCGGTTTTTTTGTTTGAAAGGCATATTACGTCGAGAGTGTTCTTAGCTATGTTTGGTGGAAATCGGTTCAGGTCTTCAATGTCAAATCGTTTGTTAGGTGTGAAAGTAGATAGAAGTGTAACCCTGGTTTAAACCCATCGAGTTTGGGCTCGTTGAAAAAGTCTAGGTTAGTTCTCTTCATGTTTCTAATTGGGTCGGGAGTTTTATTAAATTAATATTTATATATTATTCTTGTACCTGGCAATTTCCCAGCTTTAGCTAGGGTCTGCCTTACATGTTGTGACTAGTTTTTGCTAATTGTTTTTTACCACCGGCCGCCTGGCTGACATCAACCCTCTTTTGGGAATGCATTAATCAGTGATATCTAAATACTCTTATAAAGTACATATGACTCGGAAAAATCACTTTGGTACCTGCCCGGGCCAGGATCGAACCCGCGCCCTCGGCAACGAGAGGCGGGCCCTCTAACCATTAGGCCACCACTGACTTTTATATGTACTTTATATTTATATATTAGTATGTTACTAATACTCACTGATGCCGAACTTCACTTTACTCTTGTCATCGTCACAGCGGCAGGTCGGGTCCTCCAAGGCAGCTGCCTCTTCCACCTTCCTCCTTATCTCAGATGGAAGTTCCTTGGGACCTGATCGTTGAACATTTCATTACCAACTTAAATTAATATTGTGGCATTACTAAGTGTATTTTATAAGGCTAACTTTATGCTCCCGATGTTGCGGTTACTTAGTTTTCGGTACGAAAATATTAGTTTCATTTAAATGAATACTCGAAAATCTTAGTTCTCATTACTTACTTCATTACTATTCAGGACTTCACGATCTTTCTACAATAATACCTACATATGACATATTTGATTGTAATGATGATAAAGATTTTTGAGTATACACATTTAAATGAAACTATTCTTGTTGTATATTATGCCTATTATTTTATATTTGACGGTCTTTATTTCACAAAATTATCATTCTACAATAATCTATGTTTGATTCTAATGAAAACTTAGATTTTCTAGTGTTCTCATTTAAATGAAACTAAGTTTTTGGATACTATGCTTTTCTTATTATTTTATATCTGACTAGCTTTAATTGACGAAATGAAAATTTTCATCTCGTCTTAGTAATTGTTGCTTTAAAGAAACAAAAACTTCAGGATTATGAAGATATAAAATAACCTAATAACCGAAAAACTTACATTTAAATGTTTCTTACTAAAAAATATTTTTGACAAATATACATAATTGATAATAATTAATTTTAATTTCATTATTCGTTTTATTGCTCAATGAGACGAAACTTCTCAGCATTCCATGGATTCACCGTGCGGGTGTCGGGTCCATCGTTTTAGTGAGAGGAGCTTTAACAGTGCCTGGGACTTGCGACCCAGGTGTAGGTTTAAGGGGCCCCTTAAATAACACGCGTTATACGCTCACCTTCACTGTCCAAGCTCTTCTCCTTACCTAACCAAATTTGAAAAGAACCTACTAGGGCTGCCTTCGATGTACGTTCCAAGAATGCATTGATTGTTCAAGCTTTTTTTAACGTAATAATCATTGAGTAACTTACATGGTGGTTTTCCGAATGGTATCGTTCTTTCCAAAGCATCTTCACATATTCTGGTCATGTAGTAATGATAATCAGGTCTCTTTGTCACAATCAACTCTCCTGTACTTACTGCAATCGCTATAAAAAACATATAAATCTATTAATGGCTTAAATTTAAATCAATCTTTAACATATACCGAAAATTCGATATAATGAATTATAAATATATTATTATTATACTGATTTTAATTGTTTTTATTAATAATTCTTCTTCTTCTTCCCGGCAATTTTCCAGCTTTAGCCAGGGTCTGTCTTACATGTTGTGAATAGTTTTGGTTAATAATTTTTACCGGCCGACTGCCTGACATCAACCCTCTTTGGGAATGCATTAATCAACGATGTCCAAATACTCTTATAAAGTACATAAGACTTGGAAAAATCACATTGGTACTTGCCAGGGCCAGGATCGAACCCGCGCCCTCATGAATGAGAGGCGGGCCTTTTAACCACTAGGCCAAAAATGACTTAAAAATTGGATATACTTGTTTATAAATATATTATTATGATACTGAATTTAATTGTTTTTATTAATAAATAGGTATATTATAATAAAATTTGAATTAATCACGCGTTAATGGAAATTCGATTAAATTAATTATAAATACATTATATTGTCTATTAAATTTAATTGTTTTATATATATATATATATATAAATGTTTATAATAATAAAATTTGAATTTACTATGGGTTGGTCAACATTTTTATTAGGGTGTCCCTCAAGGTACAATTTTAGTTACATATTTATATTGTACCTACCTTCATTAATTATTTCTACGACGTCTATATTTACTTCCATTTCTTCTCTCAGACGACTCGATATATATCTGGTTATAGATTCCCTCTCTCGGCGTTCGGAACGCGACGTTTCAACCGCTGGTGTGAAGATTTCATTAGAAATAGTATACAGAAACTAATTTACTTTTAAAATGACTAAATGAAAAAAATTGTGGCGATTACTTCACAAATTAACAAAAATAAATAATAACATCGTTGTATGTATAATATATAACTCTTGACGCCGCTGACTCCGCGGAACGAACACCAAGCGTGTGAACCAGAAGATTCCTGATACACACAAGCTATGGAATGGTATTGCTATCATAACATCGGGTAAATCATGTAGTCTTAGGTGTAGGTTATAAGTTTTAATATGTAATTCTTATTACAATATACATATACGTTTTGTAGTTTTCCTGGAACCTCTGGTTGCCACTATATAATTTGTATTTTTAACATAAATCCCTACTAAAATTATAAATGCGAAAGTAACTCTGTCTGTCTGTCTGTTACGCTTTCACGCCTAAACCACTGAACTGATTTTAATGAAATTTGGTACAGAGACAGAGTTGACCTTGAGAAAGAACATAGGATAGTTTTTAACCCAGACTTTTGAAAGGTTCTCTTGGAAACGCGATATAACCGAACTCCACGCGGTTGAACTTGCGGGCGGAAAGCTAGTATGTAATAAAAATATAAGTAATATATGTTTTTATCTCACCTTCATAAATTAAAGTATTCAGCATGCATCGTATCTCGTGCTTAACTGGATATCGTTCTGATAAACTCTTCTCTTTCACTTCTCGACCTTAAAAAGAAAATATTTAGTTATTAGACAAGTTAATAAAAGTATTGATTCAACTAGAAGTAAGTTAATTATTTAAATACATCGATATTGTTTAGTTAGTTTTACTGTTTGAAATATGTAATACGCCTATCAGAGCCCACTGCTGTAAGGCCTCTTCTCACATGGACAAGGTTTGAGCTTTAATCACAACACTCGCTCAAGACGGGTTGGTGATTTCAAACTTATAATTTGATAAGTCCATGTTTCCTTATACTTTCCTTCATCTGTCAGTGATGTCTAAATACTCTTATAAAGTACATATGACTCGGAACAATCACATTGGTACTTGCCAGGATCGAACCGGCGCCCTCGTGCACGAGAGGCGGGCGTTTAACCACTAGGCCTTCACGACATATATATATATATATATATATATATATATATATATATATATATATATATATATATATATATATATATATACTAGAGTTAATATTAACTCACGTCTTGAATGTTTCCATCTAGGATCGTCTCTGGCAGTCGTTGCAGTTGGTTTACAGATAATGCATTGATATTGTTCATCCAATGGTCTGCCACAGCGTGGACAAGTCGCTGAAATATAAGATAAAAACATATTAATACACGAAATATTAAAAAAAAATTAATAACTATGTATAAGGTCCAATGTAGCAATTTAGCCATTTTCATCTTTTTGCTTTAAACCCTTCATACTGTATTCTACAATATCCATCTAAAAAATGTGTACTTGTTGGTGGAAAGACTTAGTTTTTATTGCAGTAAAATTAACACATTATTTAACGTTTACAAAAAAAGTTTATCAATCTTATATAACGTACATGTATGTCATAGTTGCTATGCAAAGTTTCAAAAGCATCAGTTGCATGTACAAGACACATTGAAATCAAACTTAAAATGACTCTACTGAAAAATTAACATTTTGCACATTGGCCCTCATACATAGGAGCCATCGACATATAACAAAAAAACAACTTTAGGATTCATAATTCTCAAATTTGTTACTTTTAAATATATTCTCTGATTTCGAAATATTTATGTAAATCTTAAATAAATAATTAAGAAGCTGATAATTGTATATACAAATAGAAGTAATGTGACAAGCAAAATTAAAGCTTATATATCATAAATTAAGGTTTAAATTATCTTTGTCCGTCTACTCTCAACAATTTAATTCTCTAACCACACTCCTACAATAATTGCTCTGACTAAAAAACCCATAGTATGTAATGTAACAGGCAAAATTAAAGCTTATTTATCATATGATAAAGTTTAAATTTCTTCAGTAACTATTAACACTGTCACAATAGTTACTCTGGCTAAAAAACCCAAAGTAGTAATGTAACAGGCAAAATTAAAGCTTATATATCATATAATAAAGTTTAAATTTCTCTGTCCGCCTACCCTCAACATTTTCAGCATCTATCAATACTCCCATAATGCTCGCTCTTGCCCCTTCCAGTCTTCCTTTCTGTATGGTAGCTATCTTGTGCCTGGACGCTGTCTTGTGAGCTTCGGGTAGAAGGAACTGTTGTACAAGCTCAGCTACAACCTCGTTTTGTTCCGCTGTCGATCTTAGAATAAAAATAACAAATTACATTTAAAGAAAAAACATTAATTTAAACCGAACATTAAATTCCCGAATACACCCGAAGTGACGTTAAAGCGATGACGTTTGGTTTGTTCACTTTTACGAGGGAAAGTAATTGTCACGATTTGTGTGTTTATAAATTGAATTTAACTTATTGGAGGTGTTTTGGTTTAAGATTAGTTTGTTCTAGTTGAAGTTTATTTGTTATTTAAAAGTACTGGCTTTATATGACAACTTGATATATTTTTTAATGATTTTGTTAAAATCTTAAATCTATACGTTCAAATAAAACTTGTATTAACGGAATACTACGTGTTTCATCGTTTTAAACTACATACTCTCGACGTTTCGGTTCCTTAATAATCCGAAAATATAAGTTTCATTTAAATGAATACTCGCTAAAGTCTTAGATCTTATTGAAAACTTTATAAATATCAAAAATATCATTTTTTCTCAACTATTTAATATTATTATACATAAAACCTTCCTCATTAATTGTTCTATCTATTTAAAAAACCGCATCAAAATCCGTTGCGTAGTTTTAGAGATTTGAGAGTACAAACATATATATATAGGTACAGAAAGCGACTGTTTTTTCCTATGTAGTGATTTTCAAGTTACTCACATTGAACCGGAATCCGCCATCTCTTTCTCAATCTTTTCAGCGGATGAGAGAACCTTTCTTACAGCATCTTCTTCTGCGGCGAGAGCAACGCCATCTAGTAATACATCTTGGAGGTACGCATCTACCGTTTCTTGTGTTACTCCTAGAACCTGAAATAATAAAGAAAGAAAATATATCATATTTATACGTTTAAACTAATTAAAGGTCCGCCTTACATGAAGGCGGGTTCGATCCTGGCAAGTACCAATGAGGTTGTTCCGAGTCATATGTACTTTCTAAGAGTATTTAGACATCACTGACAGATGAAGGAAAATATGAGGAAACCTGGACTTATAATAATAAATTATAAGTTTGAAATCACCAAACCGTCTTGAGCAAGCGTGGTGATTAATGCTCATATCTTCTCCATAATATTACAAGAGGCCTTAATTAATAATTCAGTATTCCCTATCTAATATTCATTTAAGCAATAAGTGAGTCCTACCCTCTTAAATATTTCGTCATGTTCTCTTCTCCGATGTTCTTCTTTCTGTCTTCTGCCAGCCTCTGCTGCTTCTCTCATTGTCTTCTCACGTACTGTAATATCAAATGTAAATTTATACTACAACTACACTTTATTCTACAACTATAATAAATTGTAACAACTGTTAAAGGATATTTAAAGTGAAAGAAGGTCATAGCTTGCAAATTAATTATAAGCTCATAGTTATAACGTTTTGAATTTATTCAATTTAATAATAAAAGAACTTGAGTACAAAAAAGTCAAAAACTTTAAAAAGACTGAGCATAAAGATATGCATAGATCACTATGGTCTAATTTTTGAAAAAGTATTTTTCAAAAAGTATGAGCGAAATATATGGTTATAAAAATAAAAAGGAGCTGTACTGACTAAAGAGTAAGTTAATATAATGGGAGATATATTGACTAAAAAAAGAAGAATGGTTTTGACTGGTGTGATGTATCGTGAAGAGGAAAGACTATTTAAAGAGCACGTTTATATATCATTATTAATAATTCTGAGAAAATTGGAAATAAGTAATATATATACTAAGTTGTATAGTTTTATTTATTCTCTTAAAGAAGTCAGTTGTATCCTATATGAGACAAATCTCATCATTCCATGTATTCACGGTGCGTGTGTCGGGTCCATCGTTGTAGTGAGAGGAGCTTCAACAGTGACTGGGACTTGTGACCCAGGTGTAGGTTTAATATATATAGAGAGACGAAACCTCTCATCATTCAATGTATTCACGGTGCGTGTGTCGGGTCCATCGTTGTAGTGAGAGGAGCTTCAACAGTGACTGGGACTTGTGACCCAGGTGTAGGTTTAATATATATAGAGAGACGAAACCTCTCATCATTCCATGTATTCACGGTGCGTGTGTCGGGTCCATCGTTGTAGTGAGAGGAGCTTCAACAGTGACTGGGACTTGTGACCCAGGTGTAGGTTTAATATATATAGAGAGACGAAACCTCTCATCATTCAATGTATTCACGGTGCGTGTGTCGGGTCCATCGTTGTAGTGAGAGGAGCTTCAACAGTGACTGGGACTTGTGACCCAGGTGTAGGTTTAATATATATAGAGAGACGAAACCTCTCATCATTCAATGTATTCACGGTGCGTGTGTCGGGTCCATCGTTGTAGTGAGAGGAGCTTCAACAGTGACTGGGACTTGTGACCCAGGTGTAGGTTTAATATATATAGAGAGACGAAACCTCTCATCATTCCATGTATTCACGGTGCGTGTGTCGGGTCCATCGTTGTAGTGAGAGGAGCTTCAACAGTGACTGGGACTTGTGACCCAGGTGTAGGTTTAATATATATAGAGAGACGAAACCTCTCATCATTCCATGTATTCACGGTGCGTGTGTCTGGTCCATCGTTGTAGTGAGAGGAGCTTCAACAGTGACTGGGACTTGTGACCCAGGTGTAGGTTTAAGGGACCCCTAACTATCTCCAAGTAAAAATAATGATCGTTTTTATGGTCTTATATATCTCTATCCCTTTAAATCATTATCTAAAGTAAAACTAATATTTTCGGATTTTACTTCGCGTTTTTTATTTTTGATTACAAACTACATACTACCGACGTTTCGGCTACTTTTCATCAACCGTGATCACGGGCAGACGGGATGTAAAATCCGAAAATATTGGTTTCATTTGAGTACTCGCGAAAAACTTAGATCTCATCATTATCTAAAGCCCTGGAACAAGTGTATGTAGTCCTATACTCACGTGCAATGAGTATAAAGGCGTGTTGTCTCCTCTCCTCTCTCAATCTTCTAAGTTCTTTCTCCAAGAAGTCCAGCGCCGCTGACACCGCGCCTCCACACAGCTCCTGGACCAATGAAGAGATCGCCTGCTCCTGTTTGATCAAGGTAATTTCAGGTTGAGAAATATTATATTTAAATAAATAGAGATATGCTTATGATTATCTGATTATTAGCAAGCAACATCAAAGTATATGTCTATATATATATATATATATATATATATATATATATATATATATATATATATATATATATATATATATATTCCTATAGGTTTATAAAGCCATATAAACCTAGAAAGAAGCAAAAAAAAACTTTGGAAAACGCAAGAACTCAAATAAAAACTCATAAAAACGAAAATCTAAAAAAACCCCAAACTAAAGAAAACCCAAAAAAAATCCAAGAAAACTCAAACTCCCAAGAAAAACTGTATATACATATATATCTATATATTTTTTTTCTTGCTTTCACATAAATACCATATATATACAAAAACTTCCTTCATATTCCTTGTCATTCCCTTTCATCACTTCCTCACCTTCTATTCATTTTCCTTGCTTTTACATAAATACCATACATATATAAAAACTTCCTTCATATTCCTTGTAATTCCCTTCCTCACCTTCTGTTCAGTCTCAGCCCTCAGCGCCTGATAGTCCCTGGCCTTAGACTCCTCTCTAGCGATCCTCTCCCTGTCCTCTCGTTGTAGACCGTGTGTTGTTTTCAATTCTTCTGTGAGTTCTGCTGCCCTGGTGCGTCCTTCGAACATCTGCCAAGAAAAAAATGCTGTTTATATAAATAAAACTAATAGGTTGGGATTACTATGCGTTTTTTATTATTTTAACTACATACTCCCGATGTTTTGGTTACTTAGTGATCATTTAAATTAGTTTCATTTAAATGAATATTGGCGAAAGTCTAAATATCATCATTGCTATCAAAATCTTTTTCTTCTAGAGTGATGAAGTGTTTTTATATAACCTTAATCATAATAATATGCAGTTTCACCACGATTGTAGCTTTCAAAATCTCCGAACTCCAAAAAAATCCAAAATATAACTAACTCACCAAAAAATATGCTCTAATAACACGTGTAAAGCACAAAATATATTTACAAATTGTATTCAAATGTAAGAAGTATATTTAAATCCAGATTATTCTAGTAATAAATCTTCTTCCTGGCAATTTTGCTAGCTTTAGCCAGAGCCTTACATGTTGTGAATAGTTTTGTCTAATTGTTGTTACGACCGGCCGCCTGCCTGACATCAACCCTCTTTGGGAATCAACATTAATCAGTGATGTCTAATTACTCTTAGAAAGTACATATGATTCTGAAAAATCACATTGGTACTTGCCAGGATCGAACCCGCGCCCTCATGTATGAGGCGGGCCTTTTAACCACTAGGCCACAACTGACTCCTTCACAGCACTGATTCTTGTGATAAATATTATTGTAGTCTGTTAAAACATTGTTAATACTCACCAATACTTGCACAGCCCTGCCACGTATGACTCTTTGCAGTACTAGCGCCGCCTGGTGGGCAGATTCATCATCATCCCCAACTCCCTCCACTTCAGGTGTGGGAGGCCGAGTGATAGTCGGTAGTTGTCGAGGGCGAAGTACCCGCAGTGGGCCAGCTGTTATTTTTGCAGCACCCAGTCTCGCTTCTACGATGATATTTCCATCATTATATACAAAATCCCTACTTATATTATAAATGCGAAAGTAACTCTGTCTGTCTGTTACGCTTTCACGCCTAAACCACTGAACTGATTTTAATGAAATTTAGTTCAGAGATAGAGTCGACCTCGAGAAAGAATATTCTCTAAAGGTTCTCTTGGAAACGTGATATAGCCGAACTCCGAACTCCGAACTGCGGGCGAAGCTGCGGGCGGAAAGCTAGTTTATATAATATAAATTTATATAATACATGTTGTATGTATATTTATATAATTTTGACTGTATTTCCATCACAATCAGTGCTACCAAAATCTAGATATACAATAGATCAATTATATTGAATGACACAATTGTATATGAACCAAATAAGTTAACGTTGTGATTGAATCAAGAAAAAATGTATGTATATCATCATCCTATAAGAGCCCACTGCTGAGCAAAGGCCTCTTCTCACATGGAGAAGGTTAGAGCATTAATCACCACGCTTGCTCCAGACGGATTGGTGTTTTCAAACTTATAATTGTGTATAAGTCCAGGTTTCCTCACGATGTTTTTCTTCACCGTCTATATGTATATGTCTAGCGAGATTTACGAGTATTCATTTAAATGTAACTAATATTATTCGGATTTACTGCGATTTTTTTCTTATTTTAACTTCATAATCCTGACGTTTCGGTTACTTTGCAGCAACTGTGATTTTTATATCGTCTGCCAGTTTTTGCAAAGTAACCGAAACGTCGGGAGTATGAAATTAAAATAATATAATAACCGTAGTAAATTCGAAAACATTAATTTTCTTTATATGTATATATGCTTCTCATATTTTGTGTTCTTATATACTTTTTAGAACGAGCTAATTTTATTCCCTAATTAGACACAATACGAAAATACCCGAACATACACGAGCATACACGAAAAAAAAACGAACATACACGATCATTCATGAGCCAACTTACTCTTGAGGTCAGAGTGTAAGTTCGCCAGGAACTGTTCGCTCCACTTGGTCTCTCGCTCGCAGAGCTGTGTGACGTCACGCGGCAGGTGATGCCCTGAACAGGATTTGGTGAGGTTTTGTCCACACTGCTCAAGCCATGCCGGTGGTTCAGCTAATTTTCTATGGTCTTCATGAACTGTGGAGAAAACAAGCTATGTCAGAGAATTTAGAGCTTATTTAGACTTTTATCGTCCTAATTATTAAGTAAAGTTATATCCTATGAGAGATCTTATAGAAGGATCTGGCTGCGAATAACAAAATATCTTCTTAAATACAACTAATGTGTCTATAAAGTTGTTTGAAGGAATCTATAATGGAAAGTTATACGCCAGTAATGAAAATACAAAAAGAAATCTCCATGGAAATTTCTGTAATAGTCAGTTCTAGTGTTTTGTCTGTTTTATGAGACAAAACTTCTCATCATTCCATGTATTCACGGTGCGTGTGTCGGGTCCATCGTTGTAGTGAGAGGAGCTTCAACAGTGACTGGGACTAAACCAGGTGTAGCTTTAAGGGACCCCTAACGTTAAACGTTCACCGCCGTCCAAGCTTCTTTCTCTACCAAATTTGAAAAGAACCTACTAGAGCCGCCTTCGAAGTACGGTCCAAGAATAAATTAATGTTAGTTCTGGACAGCTCAAGTCTTTTAGTAGGTTGTAGAGAGATTTAGATATTAGACATTATTTCTTAAATTAATTCTGTACTATTAGTTCAGTAATATATCACTTAAATTCAACAGGTAGACAATAAGTTTTATTTTTTTCTTTGTGTGAATGTTGTGTACATCTGTAATTGTCACTCATATCAGGTCCTAGATATTTTTCTATTTTATCTGTTGTTTATATGTGCTGAATATGTGTGATGTTGATGTATCTTTTAAATAAATAAATAAATAAATATAAATCACCAAGTAATGACGGGTCGTAAATGATCTCAGCGTGTCTGCGGCTAGCTCGGTATCCAAGTCTCGCTAGGGGCGCGTGTTCAGACTCCACAACTTTCCGACCTCGTCCTCGGGAACTTAATTTCCTTAGTTCTGCAATACATTTATACTGTCAAGGAAAACATCGTGAGGAAACCTGGACTTATAGTTTCATAATTATAAGTTTGAAATCACCAACCCGTCTTGAGCAAGCGTGGTGATTAATGCTCAAACCTTCTCCATGTGAGAAGAGGCTATGCTCAGCAGTGGGCGTTCATAGGCTGATGACATTTATACTATTAACGTGAAAAATAATTATAAGCTTACTCTCAGTTTTCATTAGGAGTTGTGTTTACTTTCACACTACATACGGAGCGTTAAAAGTATTTCAATAATTTTACTACCATTGTAATCTCGTCTTAATGATCACGGTTGATGAAAAGTAACCGAAAGATCGGGAGTATGTAGTTAAAATAACAAAATACGCGTAGTACATACGAAAAATGTTAGTTTAATTTAAATGAATACTCGCGAAAGTCTGAGATCACATTACCATTGTAACGTTTATTAAATGAGACAGAAAACGCTACGTATGTAGTGTGACATCAAACTTATTATAAGCATATTTATTTGTTGAATTTTCTTTCTAAATGTACAGATATAGCTGTCTATTTAAATATTCTTATAAAATAAACAGTATTGCATGTGTGTAATTTCTTAGTAACATATTTTTTCATCAAAATTTAAAAAAACATCTATCTGTCTATTAGTTTTGACTATCTTCCGAATGCCTGGACTGATTTTAATGAGAAATTCACTAGCAGGAAGGTTATGTCATAAGAAGAAACTTTGACCACTTTTTAACCGATTTTAAAATACAGGAATTTCTTAATTACGCTAATCCTTTGTTAGGTTATTACCTCTTCAAATAAAGGCTGATTTAAAATGTTTTATTTAATAGAAAGTGCGTTGTTTTGAGGCAGTTAAATTTTTACTACTTAGATATCTGATTTCAGTATTTTTTTTAATCGAATAAATCTGTATAACGATGAAAAAATAATATCAATGGAGTTTAATATGCGGATACAACCGTAGGGAATAATTAGCTAGCTAGTAAATAATTTGAACTGTTGCATTAAAATCAAATCAGCAACTAACAAGAGACAGCGACGATTATTTTCAAAGTTTGTCTTTAAACATTATCAATCTCAGTGGCGGCCGGTGGGTTATCGAACTGGTGGTGCACTTTAATAAAATATTAAAATTAGAAAATGCAACAAAAAACCAATAGACATACTTAAAATATGTTTATTTTTTAAACATTTTTTCTGAAGCGAAATGTTCAATCACCTTTTTATTAAAATCGAGTATTGTTTGTATAATTATTTTTTTCAATACTAAGCATAGAAAGTGCATTTATCAAGTGCATAGTATTTCGGAGAAAAGTTTTGATTCTTTTCAATTCCAATTCGTCATACATCGGGTGCTCTCGGTAATCTTCGGCCGCTCGTGCGGCGCTCGAGAACCGACTCGTTACTCGGTACATTTCTATGAACTATCTTTTGTTTCACGCGTCAGGCGTATTAATGCGTGTCTCATACAAGATGTATTAGCCGTCCTCGTGCACTCGCCGAAGCGCACGAGATATTAGTTTAGTTAAGCGCACAAACTTTGTGACTATAATTAGAAATTTAATTTTTTATACGTTTTTGTATGTTTAGAAAATAAATATTAAAATGGTAATTTAAAAATAAAGATGAAGTATTATTTTGTAATTTTTAAATCTTTCGAATTGGTGGTTCAGCGCACGAGTGCACTTAAGGTACAGCCGCCACTGATCAATCTATCTATCTAATTATAAACAACTTAGTTTTTGGCTTCATCTTTTTTTCCTATTCCCTATTACAAATAGTATATTAAGTGGAAAAATATTTTGGTCATCAAAAATATGATTTTGGAAGCTAAATCACATTACACTCATAAAGAAAATGTCTAAGTAAGAGGATTACTTACATATATATATACTTAACTATAGTGCGTTTGATTTAAGCTGAGCTTTACATGTGTGAGTGTACACGGATAGTGTAGGTGTGATGTCAAATTATTGAATGTCACATTTTTTTCTAGTTTTGAACCGGTTTATACTGCTTTTACTTCGCCCCGCACCTTCCGCACTTCACCCTTTGTACTGATAGCAGCGTCAAATGTTGAAAACTCAATGTGAAGAAGAATTTGTATAGTTTTGTCAAAATATTTATTAATGAATTTTTTTTCCATAATATTTCCATCTGGCCTTTTACAAGTTTTGCTTATAGCACTTATGTATCTATTTAAAATGTATAATAAAATTGAATTCTAAAGCTTAACTCTAATAGATTATACCTCTGTCCCTCGTGCGTCGTATTTTGTCTATCTTTTGTTCCATCGCGTCTTTCTTGTCCGCCCACAGCTTGGCCAGCTTGGTGCTGATGCGACTGTTCCTCTTCTGTTGCTGTTCAGATTTTAACTTGTTCAAGAGCGCCAGGCGAATGTCTTGAAGTTCGTCTATCTCCTAAATAATAACAAATATATGGATTCTTGTATATTTGGAAGCTAAAACATTTTTGGAGGAAGGCTTAATTTTATTATGTAACTATTAAGCTGGTAGTAGTAATAATAAAATAAAAGTAAAGTAGCTAGTAGTAGAAATTTAATATCTCCTAGATAGTATGTAAAGTTTAATTTAACATAATTACATCAGATATATGAATTTTTGTATATTTGGAAGCTAAAACTTTTTTGGCGGAAGGCTTATTTTTAGTGTGTAACTATTAAGCGTAGTTTAAAATGATTTCCCAAGAACATGAGATGAATAAAAGAAATTTATATAGTGATTTCATTGTCGTTTGTCAAAAATATTGACGATAAGATCATTTTAGTTACCTTAGCAGTCTTAATGAGGCATTTCTTATAGTCTGTTAAACTACGTCGTATTAAATTTGCGAGCTATACGAGTATTTTACTAACCGCTTCTCTAAATATCCAATCCTTAGTTTCAACGTCCGTGATTATAGCATTTTGTTTCTTCATATAATTCGGGAACTGGCCCTTCTCAACAATTTCATTCCATTTTCTCGCGTGGCGCATTCTGCAAATATTATAAATGGTAAATAATAAATAACATGAAAAAGACGATACGACAATTAATAAATTCACATATCAGATTCAAAGTTCGCTAAAAATGTATAAAGTATGCTTAGTTCAAACCAAGTTTTTGAAACTATATAACATATATGTATAGTCCTAAAAACTCAAGCATTCTAATGAAAAAATATTTTAAATATCATCATCAGCCTATCAGAGTCCACTGCTGTAAGGCCTCTTCTCAAATGGAGAAGGTTTGAGCATTAATCACCACGCTCGCTCAAGACGGGTTGGTGATTTCAAGCTTGTAATTGTGATATTATAAGTCCAGGTTTCCTCATGATGTTTTCCTTCACCGTATGTCAGTGATGTCTAAATACTCTTAGAAAGTACATTTCACTTAGAAAAATCACATTGGTACTTGCGAGGATCGAACCCGCGCCACTAGACAACCAGTTACTTATTTTAAATATATTTACTTGTTAATTATTTCTGTTGTATGGAAATCTGCTGGCAGGTCTCCAAGACGGTATGGACATCCAGGACCTGGTAATATAAATCATCATATTAATTAGAATTAGTTGTTTCTTTTTATTGGCAGTTGTTGAACTGGAATAAGGTTTAAATAAGTTTTAAGGTGAAATATATCTCTTGGATCATGGAGTTTTATGAAAATATCGCAGAAAACAATTTTGTCTAGAGTAAAATGGTCATGTAGAAATCATTACGTCATTTGACAGCCATTTTAATAAAGTATTTTTTTGACGTGAAACTTCTAACGTGATTTCCAACATTGTTGCGTTAAACATTTAACGCTCCGAGGAGATAAAAAGAGACAGAACGAGAGGATGTGTGTCGCTCGAAAGCATGCGGGCAATCAATTATGACTTGTAAGTACTGTCAATAAAATTTATCTTAAAGAAACGACAAAAATTTCTTAATCATCAATTTCCACCCTTTCCTATTTTCATTCTATTACGAAGTTTCACTTCTTTGGAGCGACTCCACGCACAATATTTTTTATTTTGTAAATTTACTTCTATGCCACAAAATCCAATATTCTGAATTTATCTCTGTTGTTAAATAGCTAGCTGGAATATTTTGTGTGTATTATTTCGTGTAAACCTTTTCTTTTGTATCTCACCCCATTCCAATGCATCTAGGTACATAACCTCTGGCGTTTCCAGAGCATTATCTGCAACCTTGGCGTCCGGTCCCCACGGTATAGTCTGAGCTGAAGACTCACTGCAAAAAAAATATGACCTTTATTCCTCGACATATAATGTAGAAGCTATTACTTAAGTTGAGACTAATGATTAAGTTTATATCCAACTAATATTATAATTGCGAAAGTTTGTGAGTGTGTGTGTATGTTTGTTACTTCTTAAGGCTCAAACGGTTGGACTGATTTTGATAAAAAATTGTATACAGGAAGCTGACGTCCAGAAATAACACATAGGCTACTTTACATCGCGGAAATCTCCGAAATCCCGGAAATCCACGGGTAACACCGCGGGGAGCAGCTAGTTACATTATATTTGTTAATAATTAAAAAAATATAATTTAATTCCTTCACTAATTAATCGAAAGGAACTTCGTTATATCCGGGTGTCATTTATACTTCCAGTTTTTTTTCTTTTATAGAAGAATTGCGATCATTATATACCTAAAAATCCTTTGTTAGAGCTAAGAATAGAACGTAATTATCTTCTATATATATAAAAATGGATTGCTGTTCCTTAGTCTCGCTAAAACTCGAGAACAGCTAAACGGATTTATTTTATCTTAGTCTTGAAATATTCGTGGAGGTTCAGGGAAGGTACCTATAAAACCTGAAAGAAAATTGATTCATTACTGGGAAAACCATAAAAACAGCCCTTTTCTATTTCCCATACAAACGTTTTTTTGACATTAGATTTGACAACTGGGGCATTTCACGTGAAGCGGACAGGAAAAAAAAAGTGAGGTTTGGAAAATCGATCATATTGGGACCATTTATACTTCTAGTAGATATGAGTGTAAACACAGAATATTTTTTTTGTATAATGTATATTTCACAAGTTATGGGTATCTAAAGCGTTGTCGTAATTGAAATAGTAAATTTTATGAAGGTATTTTTTCAAATTAAATAATTTTACAATAAATTATATATCATAGCGATACTTATCGGAAAAGACTGTTCTTTTTAACAATACAAAAAAAATAAAAAATAGGTTTTGTTTTCATGTCCAAAACCGGAAGTAAACTTTTCAAACTTGAATTTCATTCACTTCGACCATTTTTATTTTTTATTTTTTTTATTCAAAATATAGCTTAACATATATCAAAAATACCCTAAAAAAATTAAAATGGGATTTCTATTAGTTTAGGAGTTACATTGATATATGTGCACACGCGTCGCAATGGGCGTGATGTCTGACGCTAGCTTAGATCGGCTGGTGTGCGTTAAACATCATGTCTTGTATAACTGGTGTGGTAGAATAATTAAAACATCATAAAACATTATTGTAACAATGCAAGAACTAGTTTATTTTGTAATTTTTACTACTTTAAAATCTTTGCTAGAACTGGTCCTCTTCACAAGAATGTCATGGTTGTTGAAATAAAGCTGTGAAACTTTTTGGTTCCTGAAATCGTGACTGTAGATTCAAACCGAGGTTGCAAACAATTTCTCTGGCGTTCTATGTCGTCTTTAGAACAGAAGTAAATGGCTGTTTGTTTTGAAGATGATTTTGCCCAAACGTATAATCGTATTGGTGTTACGATTGCTTTACTCGAAGATTACTGTAGACTTGCACGCGCAGCTAAACGTTTGAGATTCCCTCCTAGACCATCGCATGGCCCTTTTCCGTGAGACGTTGCATGAAAATGCAACTCTGCATCTGCATTAATATCTCGTTTGTAATGAAACAGATACACAAAGTTGAATCTGTTTTTAAAATGTTGGGAAGCCCCGTCGGCTATGTATATTATTTTAGATACAATACTATTGATTTTTCCAAAAGATACTTGTGTAGTATCTTTTGGAAAGTTTAGAAGGTGTATAATGTATCAAGTCGTCAGAGATCATAACGATGCTGCCGTCCTTTACTTCACTACCGTCTCTATAGTCAAAAACCAACGTTAGAAGTGTTGTTTGTTCGGTATTCCATTGAAAAGATTGAGCAGCATCTTGGACAACAAAACTTTAATTTTCTGAAAAATCACATTCTACGACAATTTGTCCTTCATCGACAGTCTCCTTAAGAGTTTTAAATAAAGCGCCTGTTCCTCTGCAATGTAAGAATGAGGTTTCAAAAGGTCCAAAGCGTCGCATAACAGATAACTCATCTACAAAATTAAAAATTACAAAATAAACTAGTTCTTGCATTGTTACAATAATGTTTTATGATGTTTTAATTATTCTACCACACCAGTTATACAAGACATGATGTTTAACGCACACCAGCCGATCTAAGCTAGCGTCAGACATCACGCCCATTGCGACGCGTGTGCACATATATCAATGTAACTCCTAAACTAATAGAAATCCCATTTTAATTTTTTTAGGGTATTTTTGATATATGTTAAGCTATATTTTGAATAAAAAAAATAAAAAATAAAAATGGTCGAAGTGAATGAAATTCAAGTTTGAAAAGTTTACTTCCGGTTTTGGACATGAAAACAAAACCTATTTTTTATTTTTTTTGTATTGTTAAAAAGAACAGTCTTTTCCGATAAGTATCGCTATGATATATAATTTATTGTAAAATTATTTAATTTGAAAAAATACCTTCATAAAATTTACTATTTCAATTACGACAACTCTTTAGATACCCATAACTTGTGAAATATACATTATACAAAAAAAAATATTCTGTGTTTACACTCATATCTACTAGAAGTATAAATGGTCCCAATATGATCGATTTTCCAAACCTCACTTTTTTTTTCCTGTCCGCTTCACGTGAAATGCCCCAACTAACTAATATGTCAATCATTCTGTTCGATTGAAGCAGGAGAAACCTGATTATTAATGGCCTCTAAAACGGAATAGAGTTCGCCCGGTCAGCTATACATATATTACTAATGACGAAACTAACGCGGACGAAGTCGCGGGCAAAAACTAGTCTCTTGATAAAAGTTCAATAAGTCTTAAATCATCTGATCATTACAATAAGTCCACAATTTGTTTTAGTACATCTTCCAAAACTATTAAATAATAAAATATTAGTTTAAAAAACAAAAAAACGCTTGTGACTATTATTCATTTTATATTTGTTAGTACGATTTATCAATTAGTTTTTTGTGGACATGCGCAGATCACACACTAGCTCTGTCCCTTTCACTCTCATAGAGGATCTATGAAAAGAATATATTAATCCTGGCGGCCCTAACAAGGATAATGGGAAATTGTTAACGAATTATTGTATTGTCATTGGTCCTTGAGACATATGTAAAGTTTCAAGTTAATCAGATGTTTAGAAACCGGTGAAAATCGTGCTCAAAGATTCCGTTACATACATACAGACCAAGATAATATAAGCAGTCACTTGATGTTTTGGACAAAGAATATTATGCTGTTAATTCCTACCGGTACAAACTCTGCGTGCCTCTGTTTCTTGGCTTTGAGCTGGTGCGTGGCTGATGAGGCGTTGTGGGGTGGAAATCAGGGGTAGCGCTTTTAAGATTTAGAAGCTTTTTTGGCCTGAAATATGACATATATTGGAAAAAATAGGTGACTTAGATATTACAAAATTGTTGTCGTCGTCATCAGCCTATCAGAGAACTGCTGAGCGAAGGCCTCTTCTCACATGGAGAAGGTTGTTAAGTAAAAACAACTACAAGACATCTGAAACATATTTATATGTCTATTTTAAGATATAAATATCTTGATGCTGTAATATCAATGAATGAAAATAATCAATTGAACTAAAGCTAGCAGACTTATAACTTCCAAACAATCTCTACTAATATTATAAATGCGATAGTAAGTCTGTCTGTTGCGCTTTCACGCATAAACCACTGAACTGATTTCAATGAAATTTGGTACAGAGATAGAGTTGACCTTAAGTAAGATCATAGGATAGTTTTTATCACTATTAAAAGGTTCTCTTGGAAACGCAATATAACCGAACTCCACGCGGGCGAAGCTGCGGGCGGAAAGCTAGAAAAGAAATATTTCCTTCATAATATTCTTTAATACTGACAAATATGTGCCCAAAAAATTTACACAAATTGGTACCGGGATTAAATTAAATATTTCTATTGAAGATCTTACATAGCTGTGAATTTGAAGCGATCTTTTCCTCCAAGTTGAAGTGGTCCAGCCCTCTCACCTCTTGTCCGCTCCAAGTAAGCCCTGTACGAGCGATCTATATGCCCGGGTAAACGACAGTTGGGGTGGTACACTAAAAAGAATTAGAGAGTTCATAAACATTTTTTGCAATAGGTACATCTTCTATATATATAAAAATGGATTGCTGTTCCTTAGTCTCGCTAAAACTCGAGAACATCTGAATGGATTTATGTTATCTTAGTCTTGAAATGTTCGTGGAGGTTCAGGGAAGGTATAAAAGGTGAGAAAAATTGATTCATTTCCGGGAAAACCCTAAAAACAGCCCTTTTCTATTTCCCATACAAATGTTTTCTTTGACATTAGATTTGACAACTAACTAATATGTCAATCATTCTGTTCGATTGAAACAGGAAAAACCTAATTATTTATGACCTCTAGGACGGAATAGAGTTCGCCCGGTCAGCAATACATATATTACTAATGATGAAATTAACGCGGACCAAGTCGCGGGCAAAAACTAGTAAATTATAAAAATCCTGTCTGCCACCTCTAAATTATTTGTAGTCTACAAGATTTCCTTTTACGTCAAAAGCATAACTCCACTATTATTTAATAAAATATTTAAATTGACCAAGTAATTTCTTCGTTATTAAGAAACAATCAAAGAAACTTTGGCATTAATATTTAATTATTATTTCAAACAAGGTCAATGAACCCACAAATTAGTTTCAAAGTACCAAATAAAAAAAAGAATTTCTATCAAGATTACTTGATTTCAGGAGTACGTATAGTACAGTCATTAGACGTACCCTTTGTACTATTCGTGAAGGTACAAAATTAGGTTAAATTAATATATTTACCGACTTGCATCCTTGGGAATTGGCGCAGTTCCGAGAACATTGTCTTGTACACTGGTTGGATAACCTATAATGAATTTAGCTTATTAGATATAAGATTTACGCGAGTACACATTTAAATTAAACTAATATTTTCGTATTTACTACGCGATTTTTTGACTATAAACCACATACTCCCGACGTTTCGGTTACTTTATAGCAACCGTGATCACGGGTAGACGAGATGTGAGTGTCTGTCAGTCGGTCTTGTTATTTTATCACCTACCGCCATCGATTTCTTAATTTTGTGACCTACCGCTGTGGATGAATTTAGCTTTTAATATATTATGTATATACTAGCTAATTCTTGTATTAGTAATATTTTCGTAAGTTAAGTGTTAAAAGAATAATAAAGTTAAACTTTTGGCGGGACTCAAGATATGAAAGAAGGTCCCTGTCAAAGCCGGTAGTAGGTATTTGATACAATATGTCACTATATAAATCTTCGTACGTTTAGAGAGAGAGAGAGAGAGAGAGATAGAATAAGAAAGAGATAGAGAATAGTCATTAATTTCCACTTCTTGTCTTATTATTAAATACAATATAATATTAGTGATTGAATTTATACTTTATTATACAAACTTTTCGTCACTACATACTCCACGTCAACAGTATTTCATTAATAATCTTGTATAGTATTAACGTAGTATTATAGTAGAAACGAGAAACGCTTTCTATGTAATGTGTTTGATAGGTATTTTCTACAAATTCATATTAATTGAGATAAAATAAAAAGAGCGTATGTTTAGGTTTTGTTTTTATGTGTATTTTGACATCTAAGATTTTCGCATGTACTCATTTAAATGAAACTTAATATTATTATTGCACACTTCGTATTTTTTACTATTCTATGTCTACTTAATATCGAAATTTCGGTTCCTTTACAGCAATCGTGATGAACAGACGAGATGGAAGTGTCACCAAAAGACTTCGGTATTATTGTAAAAAGTAGTCAAAAATGAGTACTATCAGGAAAACTAAGTTAAATTTTATGTGCATTTTGTTAAAATAAGATATATCCTTGATTATTTAATTCTATTCAATCTTACTTCTATAATTCTGTCAAATAACAAACCACTTGTGCTGAAGCCATGGCCGCTTTAAACGCAGTCCGAGCGTAGTCCCTTGCACCAGATACGATGTACGTAGAATCTAAACAATTTATTATAAAATTGACAAATAAATTATCAGTTTAGAATACAATGAATAACTTTAATCTACTTAAAATTACGATTGTAACTTAAAATAAGTAATTCTCAGTAAAATAATTTAGTTATAAATCTTAATTACGATAGTATTCATTGTTTACTTAAAGTAATACTTGTACGGATACGGTTATATTCCGTAAAAACAGTAACATACCGTATAAATAGTCGTGGACTCTCATTTTCGATACATTGAATCGTCTGGGCGCTTCGTATATTGTGTCACCGCTCATGATGTAGAAAAAATCTGGTCTTTTTTAGTCTTTTGTGCTATTTTGAAGTTATAAATTGACAAAACTCGTCTCCAAGCAACGAAAGATAAGAAATGCATACAATCTGTCAAAGTTCTCGTTTATTTGACAATTCACAAAATGGCGTCTTAATTTAGAAAAGAGTTAAATTGTTTTATTTGCAAAATAAAATAATAATAATTATAAATAGTCGTATAGTTAAAAAAATATAATATTAATTTCAATAATGAATTTTTTTTGTAATTATCACAATCAATAATAATTTTATATATACCTATTTTGTTATTTTTATTGATTTCTGTAATAGTAAGTTATCCTGACTTATCATGGATGTATTGTGTTAAATTGGGTTAAATTTGGAGTGAATAATATAATAAATAGTCTATAATTATTGAGTAATTTTGACGTGAATTTTAATACGTCAGTAAATTAAGAAATCGATGACGGTAGATCAATAACAAGACCAACTGACAGACATTCACATCTCGTCTTAATGATCACGGTTGATGAAAAGTAGCCGAAACTCAGGAGTATGTAGTTTATTAGAAAAAAACGTAGTATATCCGAAAAATATTAGTTTTATTCAAATAACCTTAAATAATCTTCAGTACTTTATGTGGCAAATACTTTTTTACTCGACTATTAATATTTTAAGAAACTTAATTACTTCTTCTTCCTGGCAATATCATAGCTTTAGCCAGGGTCTGCCTTACATGTTGTGAATAGTTTTGGCTAATTGTTTTTACTACCGGCCGCCTGTCTGACATCAACCCTCTTTGGGAATGCATTAATCAGTGATGTCTAAATACTCTTAGAAAGTACATATGACTCGGAAAAATCACATTGGTACTTGCCAGGATCGAACCCGCTCACTCGAGTATGACAGGCGGGCTTTTTAACCACTAGGCCACCACTAACTTAACTTCTAATCATATTGTAATTTTTAGGGTCTGTTATAAAATACTACGAGGACCATAACTTGCTTTTCAAACCTGGTTATATAGTAGGTCACTTAAAGGGTGACCTGAAGAAAAATTCTTAGATAGATGCAGATATTTTTGCTTAAAATTCCATTATTTTACATTCTACGACAAGTCATGTCATCAGCCTATCAGAGCCCACTGCTGAGCCTCTTCTCACATGGAGAAGGTTTGAGCATTAATCACCACGCTTGCTCAAGACGGGTTGGTGATTTCAAACTTATAATTGTGAAACTATAAGTCCAGGTTTCCTCACGATGTTTTCCTTCACCGTATGTCAGTGATGTCTAAATACTCTCAGAAAGTACATATGACTCGGAAAAATCACATTAGTACATACTTGCCAGGTTTAAACCCGCGCCCTCGGCAACGAGAGGCGGGTCCCTTAACCACTAGGCCAACACTGACTACGACAAGTAATAAGCAGAATTTTATAGACAGTAATGATTTATAACTATTTCTGAAGTATTTCGTTTTAATGAGCTACGAGTATTAGTTCCTGTCAAAAATACTGCATCTGTTTATCAAAATTACTTATTACTAATAGGAGAAAAGATTATTGACCCATAAACTAGATGTTGGCGCCTATTGTGGACCTGCACTACATTTATTTTATATGACATTTTGTCTATATAAACTACGATATTCTACATAAATTTGTAATCTTTTTTATCTATTTACATAAGTCACTTCTTTTATATTTCAAATTTAAATATCATTCCGCTACGATTGCTTGTCTTAGTAACATCTGTATCTTCTGATAAAAGTATTTAGAAAAACCAAAGAAGTTTTCTTTAACCTCTCTAAATACCTACTAGAATTTAAACTTATACTAATTCTCTGTGAACACAAAAAATATCTCTTCCTGTCTAAAAATCATAATAAATAGATTTTTTCTAATAGGTTCTATTTTGAAAGTAAGTCATCTTCTACGCTTCGACAAACTTTATTTGTGTTTCCACAAAGTACTCAACATTATAATTCGTCCAACAAATAAAAAAATTGACATTGACAAAATATTACGCGAATCAAGACAGTATAAAAATGATAAAAAAAAAAATCTTCTTCGCTCAAAATAAAGACTCAAAATTCCCAATTTTAAGTAATAATACTTACAATCCGATATTAAAGTAACATACAATATATGTATATTTTATAAATAACAATATAATTGTTATGTATAAAATAATTTTGAAAAGAAACCCGTATTTTGTTTATAATACAAAAGATAAAAGTTGTTGGACTATTTTAACGAGATATATACCTATTAAAATACTTAATAACTGCATATGTTTTTGCCATTGCTTGCAAATAATCTTATTTTTTAAGCATTTTCTGTCTCATGTCATCTCAATAAAATCCAAAATCTGTTTATTTACTGCCTCTAAAGCGAAACAGTTCGCCCGGTCAGCTATGTTCCTAATTCTGACTGATGCAGACGAAGTCGCGATAGAAGCTAGTATCTTATTAACAATTTAAAATATTGTTTGAAAATAAGTTTCTCATGAATTTTGTTGTTTATTTTGAACTATTTATTTATTTTTAAAGCATTATGTTTACAACAATAATGATTTTCCCAATAAATTCTTACGCGCTTAGATAAATCTTTGTAGCAACTTCGTCAGTAGGTATACTTCAGTACAAAACTTGTCGTACCATAAACATGTCGTGTGTAAAAATTAAGTATTTTTAGTATTAATAGTGAAAATTTATCGTGATATATAAAAAAATATTAGTTTTAAGAGAATGTGCAACATTTTGAGGTGGGCTATTATTTTCGGTGAGTAATCGATTCCTACATTTTTCATTTATATAAGAAAACTAGCTTTCCGCCCGCAGCCTCGCCCGCGTCGAGTTCGGTTATATCGCGTTTCCAAGAGAACCTTTCAAAAGTCTGGGATAAAACTATCCTATGTTCTTTCTCAAGGTCTATGTCTATGTCTGTACAAAATTTCATTAAAATCAGTTCAGTGGTTCAGGCGTGAAAGCGTAACAGACACGGACAGACAGAGTTACTTTCGCATTTATAATATTAGTAGGGATTAGTTATTAATATTACAGAATTATTGACTATAAGGAAAACAAGTTACATTTTTAACATGTAAATGTAATGAATTTGATTTCTCTAAAAGGGATAAATTAAGTAAATTGCACGTTTTTATCGAATAGTTATTGTAAGAATTGCGTGATTTAAGATAAAATGTTTGGGTTTATATGTATGTTGACCTTTGACCTTTTCATTAGCTGGAAGAAGATTTTTTTGGTGATTTTACGATAATTATTATAGTCTGATAAAAAGAGGTCTATATGTATAACGTTTTAATTCTTATATAAAAGGAACATAAAATATGTTTGGGTTTTTATGTATGTGATTGACCTTTGACCTTTTATTTGTGGTAAGAAGATTTTTTTTGTGATTTTCCAATTATTATAGTCTGATAAAAGGGGGTTTATAATTTTTTTATTTCTTCATTTCATAGTAGAATTATTCACTGTCAAAATAATATGTTGAGTGACAAAAATATTAATATGTAGGATTTAAAAAGCATTTTTATTTATATATGTATATAGTAGTAAAAATAGAAGTCAGTGGTGGCCTAGTGGTTTAAAGGCTCGCCACTCATGCATGAGGGCGCGGGTTCGATCCTTGCAAATACCAATGTGATTTTTCCGAGTCATATGTACTTTCTGAAAGTATTTAGACATCACTGATTAATGCATTCCCAAAAAGGGTTGATGTCAGCAGTGGCGGGGAAAGACCTAAATTTGATGTGGGCAAGACAGATTTCGCGAGGCCCTGTTCTATGGCAACCTGAAGCTCTTACTACCTGCTCGTTTTAAAAAACTTTTACCTTTAAAGCTTTGGTTTCCTTCAAAAGATATTATAAAGCGTATTTTATATACAAGTAATTACTGCGTTACATACTTATTATCAATTTAATATTTCTTACTTTATGTATGTACCGGTGTAGGTATTACAAATCACAAAGAATACAAAAACAAAAAACGTCACTGTTTTCAGGAGCAAGCAATGTACTTTAACACTATCTATTTATTCGCTAAATATTATTAAAACGTTGAACACACTATTCTTATCAAAATAGGTAAGTACAGTCATAAAAATAAAGAATATTAAATAACGATTAAATTATGCGTTTCTTTTGGTATGTGCCTAGCGAGTGCGTTGCGTACTTTGATTGGTTGGCTTACAAGTAAAGAACGTAAGCAAATAAAACCAGGGATTCCCCGCACTCTGGTCGGCGGCAAATGTTGTCAGTCTATAAAAATACGTTTAAAAACAACATTTATTTATAAATATATTTTTTGAATCTCCCTTTAAAATTTTTTGAGCCGCGAGGCCCCTTGTACCGCGAGGCCGTAGGCGGTGGCCCACGTCGCCCACGCCTTACGCCGCCACTGGATGTCAGGCAGGCGGCACTTCGTAAAAAGAATTTGCCAAAACTATTTACAACATTTAAGGCAGACCCTGGCTGAAGCTGGGAAATAGCAAGGTAGAAGAAGATATATAGTAGAAAAATAATCATCAAGAAATAATTACAGTATATGTTCAAAATAATAATAATTATTTCATATTTATAAAGTCTTATTTTATATAACCGATGATTTTTTATAGGAAATAAAAATATATATATGTAATTAGTTAGCAAAAACGCCTCGTAGAATCTACAAACATATTTTACTCTGCATATAATGAAAGTTGAATCTCTAGGCTGTTGGATAGAACCAAAAGATATATATACTAGCTGACCCGGCGAACTTCGTACCGCCCTATAATCAAGAAATAACTGTTATACACACTACAAATTATCCTGTAGAAACCAATGTGAAAAGTACACTAAGAAATGATAAATGAATTATGTAGGTATTTTGGTATTAAAACTCCGGCCACAGACCAACTCCGGCCGATATATTTGCAAAGAGCATTTAAATTTGTTTTAATAGTAACTACGTGATTATTACTGCCAGTGACACATTATTGTA